TGCGGATACTCTTCTTGAGTAGGAGCCTGGATATCTTCCCGCAAAGCCGAGTTGGTAGCTAGAGAGAACCGTAGCGGCACATTCAACGGACGTCGGCTAGGAAATGGTGTTCCGATTTTCTCTTCCATCTCCATCCATCCTTGCTCCGATTCCATGGTGTGATATGTGGATCTTGACAGCCTGTTCAGCGCAGCTGCGCGCCATCGCGGGTTGGAGTCCGGAGTGAACCTGTCCCGTTCTTAGCACACGCTCTTTGATCCTCTCGACTCCATTCTCCAGATTCTGCACCTCCCCTGGGATCTCGTCGTTCTCCACGTCCTTTGCAGCTTTGCAGCCTTTGCTATTAACAGTGCCCCAACTATCCTGTCCCTCACTTGCCTTCCGACACCAATACCCAGTCTTTGAAATAGAAAAGTCTTCCGCGATTCTCCATTCTTCTTTTGCAAGAATGACATCGTTTCTGCCATGGCTCTCCGGCTGCGGTTGTGCTTGGCATGACTGGTCGTTGGCTCGCCAGATCGAGCATTGGTACAAAAATAGCGGCACAGTCCAGGTAACATCTCACTGGTTCCGTGACCGCTGCACCCGCAGGCCGTGTCCTTTCGAACGTCAGTCCATACTCATAAGAGACATCTACTCCACGTTCGTGGATCCTACTTCTCTTCTTTCTCCGAGACCTTGATCCATTATGAAAGTGCGACGGGTCCAAGAAATGGACGAGAAAAGCGGTCGGAGGAAGCACCGTAGGCGCTTTGGAGCATTGTGTCGAGATCAGGACTCCAGGGAAAGTGGTTGATAGATATGGGTCATACTCAGAGTCGCAGTCAGTTTCCGCGTACAAATTGGACAAATCTCCCAGGGTGAACTGACTTGCAAGCAATTTGTGTCGATCGATTCGCGGTAAGCTGTGATGCTAATGTGACTGGGACGTTCCTGTCCTTCGATTCCGGTGCAGTGGTGAAGCATTTGTGGTGCCAGGTCACTAGGAGAAAGCTCCCAAGCTGGTAATTATGCCATTCGCTAGAACTCGAGATGAATGGACCAAGATAGGTCGTCCGTAGTAAGGGGAATAAGAGCGCCAGTCTGGATAACAGGGAATTCAAAAGAAAAGAGGTGGGATATTCGTGAAAACCGTGAGGTCTAAGTGTTCGTTGGTGCGTACCAAGACGCCGTGGTAAATCCTCCCAAAACCATCGGAATAAATGCTATGGAGCACCTTCATTAGTGGAAGTTGGATTTTAGCTCGTGGCGGCGTAGCCTTGGGGGCTGGAAGACATTAGGAAAGCTGTTAGTGACGAGGAGAACCGTCGGTGAGGAGTACTGCTACTCTTCGATAATGTCTGCTCTACGCTAGTGTCAGACATCATACAGCGGCAACTCCGAACGTACCTCGATAATATTGCATGGTACGTCGAGAAGAGGACAGTGGGGATCCGTCTATAGGTATGCATTAACAGATGGTTGAGAGCGGCTGGCATATGGATCGGAGTCGTTAACTTTCTGGAATGCCCAGTCCCGTTAACGACTCCGATCACTTATTCTCGTGTCAAAGACGGTGGTGATACGTTAAGTGGCAAGTCCGCCCAGGCTTTGGCGCATATCCATGGCCCTGGTCATACATTTTCACCAGGGAGTGGCTCCTGCGAGGCTGCGGCCTGCCTTCGAGTCAGGGGAGTTTTATGCAGCTCCAGAAGTCTTTGATTCAAGCCAGGGATATGGGGTGTACTTAATTGGTGTACAGCGTAGTGCACTGTATATAGATCGACAATCTCCCCACCCAGACCTCCAGCGTAGTATCAAAAGGAGTCCGTTGTAAGGAAGTGGCGTTCAGTACTCTGACGATCCTGCTGTGAAGGCCATGCCGGGAAGGCCAGGAACGCAATCGCCCGCTCAGTCCACTCCCTGAGCACCAAAAAAGCTGCAAGATGCGTACCCTCATGCCTCTCAAAGCGATTCGGTCGTCTGCACCTTCCATCGAATCGGTACCGAGAGAACGGTGTAGAGACCTTGGCCTCCAACGCTTCTCTGTATGCAGTGGAACTGTCGGACGCAGACTTGCGAAGACCGTTCCTTTGCTCGGAACCTTGCGGGAGTTCATGAAATCATGGCGTATTCTCGCCAGGATACTCCTTTGAGCAGCCCGTGATAGCCCTCGCTCGATCGACTTCGTGCTCTCCGCTCTGTAGCTTGGACCTTGGTATTTGTCCCGCAGGTTGTTCGTGTGCAGCGCCAATCTCTCGATCAGCTCGACCTATCGTTCCGAGTGAGCTGCGGCTAGCCTTTCGAAATTTCGGCTTCCTGAGCATTCCCAAGCCTCTCTAGCGGTCGAATCTTGTTGTAAGAGCTGCCGCTGCTGACTTCGTGGTCGTGCGCCGCTGGAAAAGGACGGTCGTCCGTGGATGGACTATCCTCCGGTCATCAGCGAGAGACGGCGCTGGTTCTGTGATAGAATCTGCGTCTTCGGCTATGCTGCCTGCGTCGCAGGCGGAGACAATGTCAATGTAGTCCGTCTCACTGGAAGACTTCAGCCATTTAACTCTCGCTCGTGTGCTCTCTCATATGTCGCCTAGTCATTCTACTCTTCCATGTCCTGCACCGTCTGAATTGGACCCAAACCTACATCACTGAGTACGCAGTGAAGTGCTGCATCGAGCTTTCCTGGACGTCCCAACACTCCTCTGAGTCCTCCATCGTATGATTGCGCTATCGTTCCAAGGCTCGCGGGTCTTTCAGCCTTCCACGTCAAGCTGCTGCCGATGATCTTTATCACTTTGTGTCTTTCTCTCCCGCGTCTCCCGCATCTGACTTGAAGTCCTTACCCGGCTTCACTGTATTTCCCGCGCCGGTACTGCGCTCTCGAGACCTCAGGAGGTGAGGTTGTTGGATACTGCTTAGTCTATTGTCGGACGCGAGAGGCCCATCGAATATGGTCGTACGAATGGAGCTCATGTGTTTCATTTGGAAAAGGAGGAGATTGTTGCGAAGTGAAAAGCGATGCCGAATGGAAAGCTCTCTGCGCCGCCATGTCGGGCATAACCGTGACCGTACTCCTCGCAACCACGCCTCCCGGTGAGAACGAGTCACTATCATCTCGAAGCAGATAACAGAGGACGCGAGATCAACATAGCGTCGCAAAGCGTTCATGCCAATGTAATTCCCACCATACGACTCCGTTTCGGTCGAGATGGCCCGTGTCTGGGCAAGGTGAGCGGATGGCAAGGCATCGGTGGATGATATCCGTGGGTTTCTTCGTGACTTGGTCGTCGTCGTCGTCGTCCTCGGTGAGATCCTTGGGCTGGAAATGGGGGAGTATTCGTTAGCAAAAACAGAAGATGAAAGGCCGAGTCTGTGGCTCGGGACGATGTTCATGTTCATGGCTGACGTCAAATTTGGGTTAGGGCTAGTGAACGGATCTGCCCCGCCAATGAGATCGACGTCAACGCCATACCTCTTTCACATGCACACCGGCTCCCACTGAAGACCTCGCTCGTTCGTTGCACACGAGGGAATCTGGCATTCTCAACATGCAGAAGTCTCGCCCGGCGAAAATCGGAAGGACTTTATCTCCCTGCGATACCCGAAATCATTTGACCAATTCGCTGACTTTGAAAGCCAGAATGCTGATGGGATATGAGGAGAGATCGAGCACCATGCTCCACGTTCACGGTTTTCAGCTTCATGTAAAGCACCGAGTTCTTCGAAGCTTTGCGCCGCTTACATCGCCGCCTCCATCAGGTCGACCCAATCCGATTCGCAACGCACGACTCCTCCGAAGCCTCGTAAACGCTGTCGTCGCCGAATGTCCAGACGCAAATCCGATCAGGCGAGCTCCGGGTCCTCCAAAGCCTCGCATCTACTCTCATCCCGTCATTTGACAGTCCAGTCGGGTCTAAGGACAATGATCGTCCCTAGAAATCGCAAAGCAACACCTCTTTCGAGATGAGCCTCTTGCTTTCCAGGCTGCGCCCTCGTGGAGGGAGAAATCTGGCCAAGAGCTATGTCGTCGGCTTGTGGATCAGGTCTGGTGGAGAGTCTCGCAGCAGATACCTTACCATCGCGGTGGTCCTGTGACCAAGGATCATGTGGAGGCTGGCGGAGTGCCAAAAAATCGAAGGATTAAACAGAACTCAAGACACGGCGGTGGCTGCGTGAAGATGATGAACGAATGAGGTAATAACATAGCTGTATATCTGTAGAGTTTGTCAAGGTCAGCAGCCATCGTATCCTCTTGCGGCCTCTGCAATTGCACTTGCAGCCTGCTGCCTTGCAGGAGGCGGACAGAATACAAGGCCGGCAATGAGCGATCCAGTTGCGCAGCTACCACCGCATTGCTTTCATCGTCTTATGAGCCACCTTACCCACTTCGGAGAAATGTTTCCTTTCCTCGCTGTAGCACCCATGCGTCTCGTCAACTGCACCAGTAAGAGCCAACTTGAACCGGTAAGACCAGGTTGTTAGGTGGGTTTCCTTCCAACCTGCGGCCAGTCGTTATTCAAGTTTATGCCTGCTTGGACCTTGGTGGGGTGAGTGATTGTGCAAGTCATTCATCGCTGGAGTCTTCTAAAAAGCTCAAGCGTGAAATTCATGATAAAGGTCTTGAGTTGAGAGCATGCTTCAGAAAAGGTGCTGTCCTGATCAGTCCTCATCCTGACGTCTTGACACCACAGAGGAGATCACCAGAGTTCGGTTTGTTACACGTTTCGTTCAATTATCATGCATGCAGAGACCATATCTAGTTATAGATACATTTGCGTGCGTACTGCCGTCTTCCCATCCGCCCTTACATGTTCACGTCATTGTATGCGCAGTGGCATACATAATCGGCAGGAAGGCAAATCATTATCATCAGCCATGATTGGTCGTTTATTCATTCACCTCTTGCCTTGCAGCCTTCGTCATGCCGGCGCGCATCAGTGGCCTCTTAAGGTGCCTCCAGAGATCACGGCTCCAACAACCTTTGATCCGTCATCCAGCGGCCACAACCAAGCTGCTTGGAACGTTCACCCAAGACGGGCCTGCAGCGTCTCGATATCCCGCAGAGTCTGCTCTCGGAGCCGCTTGATCGCTTCTCCAAAAGCGCTTTCAACCATTGTCGCATCCGCAATAGCGGCCGTCATGGCGGTGTCAAGGTTACTGACTATGGGCAGTTCAGCGCCACGGACTCCTTCCAGAGCTGTAGCCAGTTCCTTCTGCTTGTCGTTGAGAATAGAAGCGAGTCCCGGAGAGATCGCGACAGCCGCTTGCAAGGAGTCAATGTCGCTTCGTAGCTTGCCGATTTCCTCCGATTCGGGCTGGGCAGGGACGCGAAGAGCCTGTAGTAGCTTGCGCACTGCGACAGCTTCGTCGCGCACGGCGCAAACCTCTTGCTGCGCATCATTGAAGGCATCGAAGAAGGCTCCGCAGAGCTTGACGCCGGAGCTGAGAACGGATCTGCTGGATCCAGGCTTCCATCCCGGATTTTCCTGGAAGTCTTGAAACACGTCCGCCTCAGTGTCCTTCTGACTCCGAAAATTGATCGCCTGCTGACCGTCCGGTGCCCTCTGCTGGTTGAAGCAGTAGACTACGTAACACCACAGACTCAGGCCAGCGGTGCAGGACGGCGAGGGTCTCGCAGCTCCAGTCACAAGACCTGCGACGACAGATGCAACGCACGCATGATCCTTACTGGGTTGAGGCTGCGCTTGAGGCTGCTCGAGGTAGTAGTCTCGCAGATCGAGTAGAAGAGGGTCGTTGAGCTGAGCGGCGGCAGTGAGATCACTCACGACACTTTTGGAGTATCCTTTGGGACAGAAGAGCACCAAGCGCTTGGTGGTGTAGTTTGCCCAGACAAGTATGGAGCGCTGGCCACCGGAGGCGTAGACAGCAGTGCCAACCTGAATGAAGATATTGTGTGTGTCCTTGTCAACGTCACTGTTTTCGTCCGCATCTTCCTCGTCCACATGATCAAATCGATACTGTTGCAGGGATTCCACGACATCTTTTATCGGTGCATGATCTTCAACCTGAAAGCTGTCACCCTTCGCGACCTGGCGGATGAAATCGTCGAGGACCTCGTTGGTGATGTCGAACGTCTCGGGGTTGAAGGAAGGAGTAGGTTCGTCGGCATCGCCTTGATTACGGCGCTTCGCTGTGCTAGGCTCGAAGAAAGAGGTGGACTTGCGGCGCTTCGACATGTTGACGTGTTGCAAGTAATTGAGCTGTGGGGAAGCAGGTTCGGGACAAGACTGTCGCTGGGGTGCAGCGTGTGCGCCAATAATCGACTTGGAGAGCGCAGCGCGTGGAGTCTCTTCCGTCGCAGAGGGACTGGGAGAATTGGGTTCGGTGGCAGGCGGTTCAGGTGGCTCAAGTTGGAACAGTGACGTGTCCTCTTCTGGCGCGAGACCGTCAGAGTAAAGTTGCTGGAGCTGATCGTCGTCGTCGTCGTGAACTTGCAAGTCAAGTCGGGTGGCGCGCTCGTCTTGCGTGTGGTGCGCGTGCTGTTTTGCAGTGTCGTTGAATGTAGGTGTTGATGTTTCGGGTGAGGTGGAAGTCGCGAGAGATTGAAAACTGCTGTCGTCCGTGCGCGGCGGGGCGGAATTGCGACGGGCCATCTCCGGCGTGCGGGGATTGATGCCTTGGGAACCGTGCAAGGAACGCATTCGGTCCAGTATTGTCGTCGCCGCCAATGTGTTGTCCACAGCTTCATCCTCTTCGCTCGCCGGCGACGGCGGTGTGTCATCGTCGTCACTTTGTCCTTGCTGAGGACTCAGCCCTTCTTCCGAGTCGGGCGAACCAGCGCTTGTAGTCTCTGTCTCGTCTTCCTGATCTTGTGAACTCGTCGCCGACGCTGCTCTTGACGCTCGTGATGTGACGCCGCTTCGACTCGGATGGTCCTCGCGAGCGCGCTCAAGGGCGGCAGCGGCATCCACCGGCGCCCATTCCAGACCTTTCGCCCGATTTCCAACTTGCGTGGTGCCTTCGTATCGCTTTCTCCGCGCGTCTTGAAGCAGACCCATCGCCTCCTCTGCATCGTCACAGTACTTTTCCAAGAAGCGCGCTTTGCGTAGCATCGAGAGTTTGACGCCGCTGTCGCCAAACAATCCATATAGATCCACAACTCCCAAGCGCCAGAACTCTGCGTTTTCAAAGTGCCGCAGGTGTGTCATCAGCCGCTTTTTGTTTGGTAGCCCGCTTTGGATCACGCTGACGAGCTGCTCGTGCATGCCAGGACTCATCAGCGAGAGGAGTTCGGGCGCTCGTATCGCTCCAGTCTTCGTGGTGACAGTATCGAAGGCCATTCGGAGGCTACTCAAGACGGCAACGCGGTCGCAAGGTGGCTTCAGCGAGCGCTGCATAATCGCGAGGTAGTGCGACACCTCTTGGCTCTCGTGAGAGCCCATATCGTCGCCGGTGGTGTGCGGAGTGGAGGCGGTGGAGGATGTGCGGCGTACGGGTCGAAGTGTGGCAGGTGTTGTTGTGGAAGAGTGCATGTGGGCGCGCTCTATGCGTGCACGGCGCTCGGAGGTCGGGCAAATTTGTGAGATGACGTAATCATCTAAAAGTGCACCCCGGTGCACTCTTAGCCGAACTTCATTGCGCAACCCCGACCTTACCAGCCCAGACATTCTCACGAATTCTTTGTGCCACCTCGTGTCCTGGATAAGTAGAACCTGGTCCGAAGTTGAAGACACCAGCGTCACTCTGTGCTCGAATCATTGAGCAATGAAGAGTGCATGTCTGTCACGACTCACGAACTGTTTAGGCTGTGTACTTTGAACTACTTTCGCTGTTCTCAGGTCAGCGGTTACACTTCTGGTCCATTCCAAGGCTCTGATTTGAGCAGAGCAAACACCTTCACATGCTTTGGCTATTCCTTTCGCCAGGACCCTTTCTCAACACATTTGCAAGACTGCAAGCATAGTATTACCATAATACCATGTTTGCGGGACACCATGCTTCCAGATCACCCTCAAGGCGCCTTCTAAGTTGAAAGTTCATTGCGACCATGGCGGTTCTGGCCGTACGGTAAACATGCGCGTTACGGATTTCTCGTGGACCGCTCGTGCAAGAGCAGAAAATTGAAATGTTACTTCAGACTTAGATCCAGATTACAGCTCAGCCGTGACATCTCGGATCCTCGAAAGCGAGACGGTCATGAAATCTCCGTCAAAAGCCACTGCCGATTAATTCCGTTAGCTTCCGTACGGAGTGGATCCTCCATCCGGCAGGGTGCTCATTGCCTGTGTACAATGTTCAGGGATGCTGCGCGGAGTCGTTTGAATAGATACGGGCTGCTAAAGCCAGACCACAGTTCTCGCTCGCCGCATAGCGTTCACAACCTCTCGCTCTACTCTGACTGGAAGACCACGCAATGAGGTTCGTCTGAGTTCTTCAGTGAGCTCGCTCACATTTAGAGGTCAGACGGAGTGCTGAACTGAGCGATAGCGGACGCGAAACATGGCTTGAATCGGAATACCTAATGTTTCCAGTTTCCTCTCGCACGAAGATCGCTGCGTTGAATGTGGGTCACAGCGAGTATGCAAGACAAGGGTATCCGCGCACTGGAGGAAATCACCACTCAGACACACCGTCCTCGAAGGCTTTGCCATCCATGTATATCCACGATATCTGTCCTTCCACTTGCCCGCGGGCTCGCTGCTTCAAATGCAAGCTTACGCTCCACTCTGCCGGAGTGGCCGTTCCTTGTCTTCTGACTCCAGGATCACCTCCTCCGCCGCAACACACTGCGACCTCCATGAGCCCAGTCTTAACGGTGGTATTTGGTGCTTCGGGGTTGTCTTGCTGTTTCTACCCGATACGACTCAATTCAATCCCTATCAATGTCTCGCGGCGGCTGAGGATCGGCTGCAAGATCATTATCTCTGTAGCTCGAGTTTCGTATATGCTGTTCCTTCATCCAATACATTCGGGAGGCCTCAATGGCTCTGTAGGAATCTTCGATCGTCCAGGTGCGTCAGCTCGTGGCCCGTGGGTTAGATCTGGCGCGGAACATGGTTCTGCCAAACCCTCAGACATTTCCTCCAAAGTTAAGAACAATAGATTGCAGGAAGTCGTTCCTTACGCATCGATCCAGAGAGTTGAGCCTTTGTCCTGGACGGCTCGACACCTTCGTGTTCTCTCTCAGCTCCTTTAGAGCTGCCTTCCCTAGTCCACATGTGCCTGATTTGCGCATTTGGTCTTACTACGCGCTGCCGTCTCAGTCCGGATTGTAGCACTGTTACAGAGAGATTTCAAGCAAGGATCAGAGGGCGCATTGACATCTGGGTCGCCTTTTATGTCGATGTCGATGTAGGTTGCAAGACCACGCTTGGCATAGTCTCAATTGGTACGGGTGCCGTGGACCGTGTGGTACTGGAAGCCGGCGAGGGAGGAAGAGTGTGCTGCCGTTATCACGCTTTGACGACACGTAAGGGTCATGTTGGTTTGCTCACTGGCAACATTCGGTTTCGGTGATCGTGTATGTGGCAGCTTGGCAGAGATCGAAATAGGATCGGTAGCGGGCCCTGCCACGTGCTTCGGGCCGGTGGATCCCGCAGACCTTGGGTCCTCCCATCAATATAATGCTCTCCTGGTCTCCCTTGAATCTTCCCTGAATGCATGAGCCAGCTTTACATCCATCGGACGTCTACGCGATGCTGATGAGATTGCTGCCAGTCTCTCTGCATGCTTTTGTAAAGTCGACAACAAAGATACACGACTTCGTTTGGCACTGTGCGCTGCAGGCCCATGTGCAGTTGCACGGCTTCCGCGAGGATCGTAGCACATGCAAGAGCAGCGCCGACGTCGAAGCACCTCTGTACAAGCGAGCTACAGCAGGGTGTGCAAGGATGAACAACGCCTCCACCACTTTACTGCTTATTACATCTTCGACACGGGTGACAAAAGCGCACGACCGCTTGCGTGGACTCCCATGGAGTCTTAACCTTTTGATGCAAGATTTTATGGCTCGGAGATCCAGGAAGGCAGAGAACAGTGAAGTAAATAATGTTCCGGGGACAATCAGCAAGTGCGATATCTTGAGGCCAACGTCTCCCGAAGGGCTTCTAGATAGCGAATAACATCGTCTTACCAGTTGAGATCGATGGATGTATTGTTTCAGCAGCGACTTCGTGTGTCGAAGTCTGCGACATAAGTGCCGCTCGAGACCACAAGGAGGCAATGGCTCGTATCCTCCGGACAGGTTGCAGGATACGTCTCGGGCTCACTGGCGTTGTGGTTGCTCTGGATGACCAATGTATCTCTTGGAGAGTTCATCGAGCGTATTATATTCGCTGTTTACTAATGGAACAATGGAACATAGCGGTTCTGTCTTGAAGCGATTTTCGTGAGCATTATGGCGGCTTTCTGCAAGGAGGAATGATTGTGGATGTCATGTGGGCTGTCTGCAAATCAGGTTGAGCATGTTCTATCTGGAGGATATCGTCAGACATCTCATAACGGGTCTTCGCAAAGGAGTGGAACGACTCCCTGTCGTGATGCTCTCCCATCCGTACGTTGGTGGTCTACAGAGGAGTTCGGAGACTTGCCATTGCACCGCGTCTCCGTGGTGGTTGTCTGTGACGGAGCGTGATATCGTCGACCCGCGACAGTGTCCTTGTCCCTGGTTCCTATCTTGTTTGACGGTTTCGCAATTCCCATCACGGCTTTCGCTCTCGGCAGCGTCATGATAAGAGAGTAGTTAAGCGAAGGGCGGATCATCCGATTGCGGCGCCATTGCTAGACTGCCGTGCTAGGCCGCTGTGGCTCAGACGGCAAGATCAAGGCAGAGTAGAGAGCGAAGCTGGAGGGTCATGCCTGGTCAGCGATTTGGGAAGTCGTGCATCTCGGATGCTATTATGATGACTGAATGGAAAACGAGGAGTGCGACTCCGAGTAGCGCTGAAACGGTCTGTTTCTACTCGTTGCTCGTGTGTAGTAGAGTCGTCGGCCGATTTGTTGCCGCTCGGAATGGGAATATCAAGTTGAAGATCCATGTCCAGTGCAAGAAAGCTAAGAGGGAAGCAGATGCGTCAACTGGGAAGTGATACCCTTTCAAATACTATTACTCTCGCTCTCCCAACGCTGCAGGCAAGACTCGTTAAGTAGAGGAGAGATGCCAAAATCCTGCGATGTGTAATAAGCTCGTGGACTGGCTCGTGTCTTTCGCCCTCCCAATCCTGCAAGTTCCCTTCCCTCTTCCACTCTCCCTCGGTACAGGGAACACGGAGTAGAGGTTGACGTTGGAGCGATTATGGAATCCTTCACTTCTGAACTCAATCCAAAGGAGCTGAGGGTATCAAAAGCTCTGTGGTCTGTCCCGTCGAGACTTGTAATTCGAGTGCAGTGAGCTGGTCGACAAGCCCGTCTTCATCCAAAGTCAAGAGGACAAGTTGGAGGGTGATGCTAGGGGGACCAAGTAAGGAGTCGAGCGCTGATGTGTCTGGGGCTGCGTTAGTCGAGCTGTTACACACTCTCAGTTGGCGAAGGCCCGGACAGTTGACAAGTTGCGCTCCCTTCGGGCCTCCAACTGCTGTCCTGGACCCTCCTACCACCCATCTTGCGCGCTGGTCTGTTAATACAGAGCCCGTCAAGGCGCTGCGAACTGGAGCTTCTGACCAGCTGCCGCCGCTTGAAAGCGTCGAGACGATGCGATAGGGCAAGGTGAATGTGTAAGGAGAATACCAGCTCCGCCAGGATGGATAAGTCGGCGATTGACGTGTGAAGAGTGAGATGAGGAGGGAAGCTGTGCAGAATCGAAGTGCTCTGTGCCAAGCTCGGAGACACAACATGACAAATCGACCTTGGCAGCATTGAAAAGGCTGTGCCGGCTAATCTCTCATACCTCGTCGAGTGAAATCCTTGTTCTCGAGCGTCAAGACCAAAGGCAAGGCGGCTACGAGCGGCTAGCCCATGACGCGGTCACAGGCGACAGAATCAGCCTGAAACTGCAAGCGTGCTGTATAACAACACTCGCGCTCCTTTTCCCCCAACGTGACGTTGGTCATCCATGTTGGTCTGTTGATTCGAGCGCTTCGAAATGGTCTGAGATCACGGTGCCAGGCAGCAGCCGTACAAAGGAAAGACGAACAGAGAGAGGAAGGATACGAGCGCCGAGGAGAGCAGCATTTCAGAGTGATGCGAGAAGTACGTTCCTAGATAAATGGAGAAAGATGTGTCGAAGTCGAAAGGTTGACATGAGAGGTCAAGCTATGGCGTGGTCAAGACGCCGCCATAACCCCTGCTGTGACAAGCCGTCGAGCGAAATGTGTGCTGTCTGTCCGCACATCGTGTTTTTGACCAAATTTGGTGCGGCAGTCTGTTGGATGGCGATTGAGCAGCGATGTCAGCAGTCGGTGGTATGTCTTTGCAGCCTTTTTCTCCACCGTGGCGTGAATCCTTAATACTCTTAAACTCTGTTTATGTGGAGTTGAGACGTTGTGGGCCGAGTGACAGACTGTATGCCTGAATCCAGATGGGGGTAGGAGACGAGTAGAAACAGGCCAGATGAGAGCTTCGACTGCTGCTATTGTCCACTTCTGTCGTTGTTTGGCTGCTCTCACACCCCCTGTGAGTAGTTGGCATAAAGTCCGCCGCAATACTGTTTGCCAAGTGGCAGAGTGTATGGGATGGCCACAGCGTGCGAGAAAGTCAACCGGTGGCAGACGGGACTTGGGATCCAGATACTGTCCCCGACTCCTCCCGCTGGTCTGTTGGCTCTTGTTATACATGCTGACGGGGTGGTGATGTGGCTGTCAAGAATCAAGATGTCGCGGGTGGGGTGACAGATGTGTGTCTGAATAGCGGGGGCACTGACACTCGCACGCTGAGAAATTTGCGGCTCGATCACTTGAATCGAAGAAGTTTCGGTCTCGCGAGTCGCGACTTTGAGCTTCGTCGCGTGGGAGGCAGCGGTTAGGTGGTGGCACCGTGGCAGACTCGCCGACTCAGGTTGACATTTGCGGATTGGAGGGTTATCGGTCTGGTGGAGTTGAGCCGGTCGAAATGATATGGGTCAATACCACAGGTTGTGAGAAGAGGCGAGCGATGGTAGAATTTGCTCTGCCCGAGACGAAGAACTGTGGGGTTCCTGCCATGGCGCGGTATGGCATACAAAAGCGAGACGTTGCGGGACCTGGAGTTTAAAGTATGAGATCGCGTATTGCTTCATGTTGTGGAGTGATACCGCAGCGCTATGCGCGACGATGGATGAAGTGTGGTTGTGATGGGTATATTCGCGTGGTGTGAGATCGTTGGCGTTCTTGGGATGGAAGCGAGTCTCGGTATCGGGCTCGGGCTCGGGTGCAGCCGACTGCGCCGTCCGAGTCCTGAATACCAAACGACACGAACTCGCTAGTGTGCAGCCCTGGACTTCTTGAAGATAGGTGTAGGTAGAGGTCTGAGGGATATGCTCTCAAGTGGAAGAAGCCTGGCCGTCCAATCTCGCGCTCGGAAAGTTGTACGTCTGACCAAGAACATCACTAAGCTGAATGGCAAGGAAAAGTGGGACGAGGATCCACGAACGTTGAAAGCACAAGACGCAACAGCGTATGATAAGATTTGCTCTCGAGAGTGCAACAAGATCGAGGCATCGACAAGCGGTCCACCCTCGGGAGCCCGATACGTGGGAGCCGGAGCAAATCTTTCGCCTGCCCGAAGTACGGCTGCATCGCTCCTCGGTCGAGAAGTTACGAAGAGCTGTGGGGTTTGTAGCTGTGCGCCCATCGGCTGCTCCCCCAGACGCCAGGTGCAGATTCCTCATGAAATGAGGGTATGATGCGATCGGCTGCAATACAGCATTTCGGGTTCGAAGCCAAACAACGAAAACCAGAAGTCCTTCACGGTGTGGTGGCACTTGGGGGAGAGTGACGGAGATTCTCCAACTCGCAGTATGCTCGCCCACTTCTTCCAAGAATCAGCCGGTCAAAAGGGTGTAACCTACCAGCGGGCGTGCTTGCGTCGAACTCCAGAGAGCGTCCTTGCTCCAAGATTTTTGCAGAAGGGATGAATCGGCGCTTTCTATCGGGCTTCGCGCACGCGACAATAGAGCATCGAGGCCGTCAAAAACACCCTTCGTCACATTTGAAGAGAAGTTGCAAGCGGTGAATCGACAACAGCCGGCTATGTCCACCGACGATCCACCCTGATGGACCGAGTCTCCCTCGTAACAGCGATCGCAGGAGCACCGACGCTGAAAGTCTTGATCAGCTGGGCTCTGGGTCTGGCCAGACTCTGCCACAGCACGGCTCAGAGCTCGTCTGCCGACACCACTGGCGCAATGTGGAGCGATCACTATTACAGAGAGCTCTGCGACGCAAGCACCGGTGCCATGGATGCTTTGGATGAGCCGTGGGGCTTCGGTGTCTGGCGCTTCGATATCTATCAGAAGGGCTTCAAGCCCCTTGTAGCCTTTGCGAGCTCCCCGTCCAGTCTTGCGAGCCGACGAAAACGAAAATTGTGGCTGCTGCCGATTGGTCATGAATCATCATGGGCTTGGGTCTGGAGAGCAACAGAGATGATGCTGGAAAGCTACCTGAGTAGCCCGCGTTCAATTATTTGGATTGGAATCATACGCACCCACATCGCCTTCCTCACGCTGATACTCCAATCTCATGCCAATGCTTCGTGATATTTAGCAAGCTACCGCCATGAAATCGCATCTGCCGAGGAGTCCGTCCCATTGACACCAGGGACAGTCATTTCGATTCATTCGTTCTGCGCCTTTCTTCGTATAGTCTGAATGTCATATCGAGCACGAGTGCCGCGTAGCTGGGGCATTCCTCCTTAAATACTGGAGATCTTACTCTCAGCAGCATTGTTACATGCTGCACCGCTAACTAGCACAAAAAAAAACGCATCGATGACAAACCGGACAGGACCGTATTCGAGCCGGCAAATATCTCGAATACTGTCCTCAGGTGCGGGTCCAGAGTCGACAGAGGAGTAGCGCCACTGTGGCAGCTTGTTACGACCAAGGGCAGGAAATTGGATCCACGTTCGCACTTCTCAACTTTGCCAGGACCCGTAAAACAAAAGTAGGAGTGCATATCGAGGCATTCTTCGGGCTTCAAGACTTGACACCGAGATGTCAAAGACAAACCACATAGCGTAGCAGCAGATGCTTATTGCTAGATTGCTAGTGAAAGTGCCGAACTTAACCTCCCGCGGCCTTCGCTCGCCTTCGACAATAAGCACTTTGGTACGCGGGATACTGATCACTTACCACGACATCTGCAAGCTTCCTAGCAACGCGGAGTGATCTGGATCTCTCGGAGTCTCGAAGCGGGTCGGCTCCGTGTAAGATTGTGGAAGTCATTTGAGAAGCTATGATACCTGCTAGTTAATGATTCCTTGCGAGTCAAAGAGCGTTTCTCGTAGCGCTGCGCGCACGTACTGAGCGCCTTGAGTCCGCCGGGTCTTTCAAAACCTCGGATGACCTCGTCCGTTTTGTAACGATGTGTGGGCGATGCAAGTTCTGCGCCTTCCTGTTCTTAGGTGCCGCAGATACTCCGACCTTACAGAAACTCGCAAACTTTGCGCTCACACGTTGCTAAGGTAATACAAAGTAGCCAACACCGCTTCTTGCCTTGCTGGTAGAAAAGTGACGGCTAATAATTGAAAGATGCTATTCAAACTGTGCTCTGCCGCAACCTGCTAGGGTCTCGTACGAGAGTTCAGGCTTTGAGAACACAGCTGCCTTGCGAAGTCACGGTGGGGATAGTAGGCGAGCACGAGACGACCTTTGCGGCGCACAGTCGCGCACTCACCCATTCTCCGGTGGACTCAACGTAGGCGGAAAGCGTTGTCAGGTCTGGTCATGTTACAGAGCTATGCGACACCCAACCCACAAAGTTTCCAGAGAGGACGCCGGGGCACGCCGCTAGTGGCTTGTACACGCCTTCTATTAGATGGATATCCTACAAGCCGGCTACGGCAGGTCTGATGTGCTTTCCGGCAACAGCACCGGGGTCTCTCCATTACCGCAGTTAAGACAGAACACACTCCATACCCTACCGCCGTCGTGACAAGCACGCGGGACTACAGCTATACAAACATTCCGTGGACGAGGGAAAGACTAGTGCTCTAAGATGAGCGAAGGGGATCTAAAGCACAACTGAGGCCAATCAGCGGGCTGGATGCTGGCAAAGTACGGTCGAATTTGAGCTCGCGCTAAGGAACTTGGCTCTCCGTCAACTGGTCACATGCGAGACGATTATGGAGAACATTACCATCTGTAAGGCATTAAGCAAGAGCTAAAAAATCACACAAGACACCGCTGACCGCTGCGCCGCATACGGAATTGTGACAACCATTCTGCCATCGGGCTCCCGGCTTAGCGCATCCATCATACGCAACGACTCACGAGCACGCGTCCATACCCCGAACTCTCTCGCCACTGCTTGACTACCCTCAATCCTGTCCAGACCGATCTCTTCGGCATGTTGCATAAACTGATTCTCGACAAACGCTCAAACGAAGATGGATGCAGGTCGACGAAGATCTTATAAAGCGATGGGTGACGAGAGCGTGGTTCATCCGGTAGGATCACTACATCTCTCGTCTCGTGAGAGTGCGAGATCAAGACGACGCCGCACAAGGGTGAGGTGGAAAGTACTTGCAATTTGAAGTGGAATGCCAGTGATTGGTACGAGTGGAAATGCTAGGATCTCTTATACTTCCTTGAGGTCCTCGGTCATGCGCTGCGACGTAGGGGCAAGGTCGAGGGGCGGGATGGGGCGCAAGCGATAGGTTCTGATACCTAGGTGGCTTGTTCTTCCAGAAGACATAACGACGACCGTGGGAAGATATCGGTAGACGATTCATTCCTGACAGGAAAAGCCGCACCCGTGTCGGGACTTGAAAGGGTACCGTAGAAGAGAGATATTTGGAGAAGAGCTAAGACCTTAACGCCGTCAGGGTTGCGCCCAAGACTGCTGTTACCGCTAGCTGAAAGACTGACTTGGTTTTAATTGCTGCCGAAAGACACGGTCTAGGAGATATAACAAAGCACGGGTTAATAGAGCACTCATTTGCCTCTCATTCCGCTTCTACGCCCGGGCCTTAAGAGGATCTTATTAGAAGAAGAAGTCAGGAAGCGGCTTGAATGCTAAGATCAATTAATAACGACTTCACTCTACGAGACGGCCTCTTACATTATTACTGAGGGCGCTACGAAAAGGTGGAGGGATACATAAGCCAGCCGCCGAATATATGCTTGAGATCTGCCCGGCACAGAAGTACACTGTACTCCCCAGATACAGCAGTTAAACTTGAACTGTCGTAGAGATCCTTTCCGGAATCCCAAGCGCCTCGCAGTTTCTACACCTCGATACAAGGCTATATAGAGAGAAGAAAGCTCCGATGTTTGGAACATCTAGTCTCGACATCCACACACACTGTGACACACATTTCTCACTCGCCCGGAGTGCTTAATAATGGAGCACACAGTGTTCAATCCTATCCTACTAGATTGACGAAACAGTCCACCCACCCGTCGGATACCTTCTGTACCATGGCCCGTGAGGCTGTTAGATAGCGGCGGCATTCAAGTAATGCCTCCGACCGACTACACGAGGTTTGATACAGTACACATCTCCTCCCACTCTACTCTCGGTTCTAGACATACTTGCATGAGCGAGGACTAGCGGAATGTACATAGTAGCATCGCTCGCTTCCTTAGTTCGTGCTTTCATGTTCGAATTTTCTTTTCTTTTTAAGTATATATGCCCGCTCGTAGATACGTCCGATCTGCTTGCATGTATTTCTCGCCCGTATAGGAGGAGTAAGGCTTTCAAAATTCCACAGCCGCCGCATAGAATTTTATTGCGTATATTCAGGTAATAGATATAAGATAGGCTATTTCGGGGGCCCTATTCGCTATCTGAATAGTTTCGAAAAGGAGAAGATTGTTCCGCGTAGAAAATGTTAGAGTAGATAACATCCTTCCGAACGAGCATGCTACCGTACGACGATTCATTGCTAGGTCTTCTCAAGATTGTGAAGGATATGTTTGAGACAAATTTGAACAGCGGATAGTTGCCACAAGATACCCTCGTCCATTCTTAAAAGGCGGCGTCGGGTAGCGTTGACGGGGCGCGCTGCTAGTTGCAGGTTCTCGAACGAGAGAAGCGGACGGAATCTTTGGCCGTGGAAGATCGCTCGCAACGGGAAGGACGAGGAGGCTGGCCGGGGAAACTAGCCGGTTACAAACCAAGACCACTTTTAGGAGGGCACTTATAGATAATGCACCCATGGATGACACACTTATAGAGTATGCACTCATATATCTTTTCTTTACGAGCAGTGCTATCCACGGCAAATACATACCTCGCACGTCTCGCAATTCGTCTTGCATCCCCGCCTTGGTCTCGAGGGTTGCATAAGTGAGAATTAGAAATATGTCTGAGGTATGATCGATCGGTTAACTCGTGAGGTATCCAAAGCGTCGTGAAAATGCCATGATCGAGGGGTCGGATTCAAATTCAATCTTGCGTCGAATATAAAGAACAGCTTAATAGGATGGAGGGAGGGATATAACTCTTATTAAAGCGACAAATCCGAGGACCACGCTTCCGATCGCTACCATCAAGAGCACGAGGAAAAAGACAGTGAGCATGGGGAAACGAGGCCAAAGAAGACGCAAGTTGCTGAGCAAAAAGTACTGCGTTCTCGTTCTTGAACCAACAACTTAAGCGAGGGCGCCGTGTATATACTCGGGGCTTGCCTATCGCAGTGGGAAATATGCTCTTCGTTGTTGCCAGTCAGGCGGTAAAGGCGGTGTACCGCATTTCTACACGCTGTCATCATCGCTTCATCCATCCATGTCCACCCCGGCGGCCGCGATACGTCTTCCTGGCTTGGAGACATTCCCTCCGGACGTTAGTCTCGACTCTCGACGGAAGCTGCTTGTTCCAGTCTGCTTGGCAGCGACGCCATTTGTGCATTGCTGCACGATATATCCATCGGTCCGGAGCACTCTGTGGTGGGCCGCGGCTTTCGATCGATGTCTGCCGGACGGCATTACAGCCGTCGGCCGATAAGAGATGGTTGGATTACATGGGGTTTGCCGTCTCATGCTCGACCAGCCTTGCACCTGCCTCATGCCGATGCGGAGCCTTTGTGCTTGGAGTCTCGTATGCGATGGAATCCGGATGAGCGGCGGTGCGATCGCGACCGGTCTCAACTTCCTTCACGGGCATTGGGCCATCAGTGATCACTCCGGCGGTGGCATCTCACTTGGGTACTCCTCCCTCTCGCGCTTGGGGCAACGCTTGCATACCGACAAGAACGGAGTATCACGCGTTAGCTGCTACTCGTAAGCGCTCATGCCATGGAGTGTCTGGTCTGTCGAGGCGGAAGGGGAAGGTCGCGAGCTCCGCAGATTGCCGTGATGCAACGCCATGCTCAGAGGCGCTCAGGCCGCGGCGCAACACTGAAACACTGCAACAGCAGCGTTCATTCGAGAATGGAGGTGGCCAGGACGCATCGTGCCAGGAGGATAAGTACTGAGGGCGTCGAGTGTTTGGGGAAATGAGAGCGAGATTGTGTCGGCAGCGGCGATGGAGCTCGATGCGTGCGCTTGGTGCAAGTTGGCTGGAGGGCGAAAGCAAGCGCGGCTCGGCGCAACAATTGTCCGCGAAAAGCCGACAGGCCGACGCTGCAGTTCCCGTCACGGCGCTCGCTTCACGCTTCTTCCAATCGTCCGCAGATTCGTTGCATCGCCTCACATTGTCGGATTGATGTCAAAATGATGCCTTCCCGCTCGCAACACGTATACTTGCGAGACACGCGCTCATCGTGTCCGGAGACGGGAAATGACGTGAAGGTATGGTATGCTGTGAGTGTGATGAGTGCGACACTGTACTGCGACGAGGGAATCGGCTTCCACACGTGACACGGCCGTGCGGAGTGGGCTTGCTTGGAGCAGCGACTGACCGTCAGTTACCGTGCACGTGACAGTACGTCGAGGCGGAGCGACGGCTAAGCAACATATAAGTACGACATGTCAGCACAACATTGGACTTTTGAAGTATCTGCTAACATGGCGGCCAACATGGCGGCCAAGATGTTGATCGGAGTTGCGTGAATTGTGGAACCGTGGATCTTTCTGAATTGTGCTGTTGCGTGTCAGAATTCGAGTGGGAGAGATGTCTCCGCAATTCCAGTCTCGGCATTGCCGAGGTCCACGGTGCGGGTGGGGCCGCCGCTGCCGCGCACCTCCGCGGTTGCCATGGAGAACAGCGCGGCACATCAACACCAACTTCTCCATCCACATCCTTCTTGTCCATCACGACGCATCCATCCATCAAACCGCACAGCTCAGCCCCGATTGGAGATTCTCACGAACACTGCAAGCACTTCAACAACTGCGTGCTTTCCTACGACCTCGCGCCACCGCCCACGCCCGCGCCCACGACCGCCGGACCGCGACACCGAAGACCACCCTCGTTGCGGAGACCTGTAGCATTCGATGTGGCCGGAAGCCGCCATTGATCTCTGGATACAGCAAGTCGCGGAAACGCCCGGAGACACGCCTCGTGGTCGAAAGCGCGGCCTGGCCGAGATGAGCGAAAACGTCATAACCACGCCGAAGCCAAAGCCGTCGAAACGCGCAAAGCAGTCGACAACCAACGTACAAGTACACGAAGACGAAAACGAAAACGAACCAGCCGGGGATGAAGAATACGGCGATCCAACGCCGATACCACTGCCTCACCATCCGATATCCTCGGTCGCAGCTCTGCCGGCACGAGACAACGAATCAGTCTCCGGTGCATCGACCTCCAGCGCGGCCATGTCGAATTCCAGCCTGGCCCTCTCCACTCCCAGCCGGGCAAAGAGGAAGCGGAATGCCAGTCCCAAGAAAGAGCTGAGCCGAGGAGCGCACGCACAATACCCCATCTCCACGCGAGCGGTGGATGCCGCCAAGATGCCCGAGGCTCTGCAGCCGCTCCTGATGGATCTGCGACGCATCGCACTGGGCAGGCGTGTCATTTCACGCGCATGGGAAGGCTGGCAAGCGCAGCTACGCACACCGACACCGGAGGAGGACGAATTCATCTTGGACAACACGACCCAACGCGCGTCTCTGGGAGACGACATGCCGCTGGATGATGCCCAGGAGCTCCTCCTGCAGGCACAGCTCAGACAAGACCGCGCTTGCTCCGAGGCCTCCTGGAACACCTTTGTTCATGGCGTGGCGCTGTCGGCAGCCACTCGACGCTCCCCCTACAAGTCGAATGTCTCCTGCGAGAACATGTGAGTATGCACACAGCACAATGCAGGAAGCAGCTAATATACCCGCAGTACAACCGCCCGTGTCTCCGCCGTCGACAGAACCGACACCAAACGAGTCGATTTCTGCCTGGCATTGGAACTGGACGGGGACTTGAAGAGAGAGCTGTGCGCAGCGAACGTTGACTCGGTCAACCACACCGACTACGACGGGGTGGCCTTCAGTCCGATCGCCGTCAGTATCGAGACCAAGGCCGGTGTCCTCGACAGCGGCTCGGATGCCGACCTCCAACTGCGAATGTGGGCCAAGTACCAATTCGACTTCCTGCGCGGCATCTTGATCCAATCCGGGCGAGATCCTGTTCTGCCACCTTTGCCGTTGATCGTCGCTCAGGGACATGAATGGAGGATGTATTACTTCGTGGAGGAGGGCAACGGTGCAGTAAGTGACGCACCATGTCGACCACACACTTCTCCTGTTGACGATCAGTAGATTTTGTACCGCGATACTTCGGCGTTCGGCAATACCGATACATTGCTCGGCATCTTCAAGCTCCACACTGGTTTGCAACGTCTTATCCGTTGGGCGGAGGAGTGGTACCGCCCATGGTTCATGGAGCACATCATCCCAGGCCTTCTCCAAGGCAGTTCGGCTGCCGGACCCTCGAGGACGTGAATCAACCTCTGGAAATCGAGGCGATCAAGACGTTTGGAGATGTTCCACATGCGCTGCAGTGGTTGTCCATTGTCAGTCCGTCTTCGACACTGCTTGACACTGACCCAGACACTGGTCGCTGTGGCATTTTGTGGTCCACGAGACTCAGCTCGGAGTGCATGATTTCCAATCCTCCAGTGACCTGGATGTTGAGATGGCTTCCTGGAGATGACGACGGCAATAGCGGGAGTTGGACCCAACAACAGAAAATCATCGTCTTGCAAGTATCATCGAATTCGGCAGACGACCCAGTATCCCTGCATCGGCACCAGGTGTCAGGTTTTTTCGGGTACAACGAAGAGCCCCGCGCAGCCTCCAAGGTTGCTTCACCGGATTCGTTCATTCGAATCATTGCACTTGGCACGCTGCGAGAAGGTCGGTCCACCGACTACCGCTCTTATGCTCGTCTGACTCGGCGATGGACTCCCTGGGTCTTCTGCCCTCGCACTCGCTGGTGCCGGCCTTTTCTCCCTTTGGCTGCTCATTTCCCTCATCAGACATTCCATCGTGGCTCGCATTCGCATCTGGAAGCCCACGGCCTTCATCTCTGGCCCTCCGGCTCGACGACAACAACAACGAGACCACCCTTCTCTTCCGGACCCGCCTCGCTCGGGGAGAGTTGTTCTCCGAGGATGTCTCTGCTGGATGGAGACTGCTGCTTACTCTTCCGAATTCTTGGTATCACTTTCTTCTCTGTCGGGCCTCGTCAGGGATGGCATAGCAGCTTTCGCGTTGCGTGTCGTTCGTTGGAAAAAAGGAAATGGAATGAAATGGAATGAAATGGAATGGGATGGGACGGGATAGAATGGAATGGAATGGAATATTCGTCCATGTTGCCTAAAAAGAGTGAATGAATTTCTATGGTCGGTAGGGGTAGGCTACGTCTTTTCTATCTGATATAATACGATTTCCATGATGCATGCCCTCAAAGAGTGAATATCTATCTGCCTGCGGTCGGTAGGGTAGGGCCAGATGTCATGTTGTGTCGCGTCGTGATGCTGAGGCCGTGTCCAAAGATCTCATCTTCGTTTTGTTCCGTTTCCCTTTCGGTTCGTGTGAGTGTCGTTTCGTTCCCTGTCCTTGTTGATGCCGTGCCACCTCCATATCTATATCTACCTCCTCTTTTTCAATACTGAATACTGGGGAAAGAATTCAGGCTTCAGCAGCGACGAGAGCAGGAGATTTTCATGGATCATTAGCTTCATCCCTTCATCCTTTTCCTTCTTTCCTGGTTTCTTTTTTTTTCTCTTTTTTGAGTTTCCTTCCTCTTGTAACATTCGGTTTCTAGTAGTTCCCAATTCCCTCCTCCTCCTGCTCCTCTCTCATCACGATAGTATGATGTTGTCGTTGATTAGACAGGAGCACCAGCCGCGCGAGCAATGGCGTCCATGTCCGCGAGGAGAGAGCGGGTGGTGGTAGTGCCGGGAGCAGAAGCAGGAGCAGAAGCAGCAGTACCCACGTTCGTGTTGGTGTTGGTGTTGATGCTATCACCGGCAGGAGCAGCATTGTTGTTGTTGTGGTTGTTGTGCTTGCTGAAGCGACTCAGAAAGTTGGTGAAGCCGGAAGAAGCGCCAGACTGCTGCTGCTGCTGCTGCTGTGACTGAGAGCGTGGGACCGCTGGTGGTGGTGGTGGTGGACCTGATGGGATGCCGGATGCGAAAGAGCGAGACGGGTAGCGTGGAGTAGCGGCAGAGTAAGACTCGTCGCCGCGGCCGCCATCAACATCATTGTTGTTGTTGGTGTTGCGAGGACCCGCGGCGCCAGCGCCACCTCCAAGGCTGTAGTAGCCGGGGATGTTGTTCGGGTTGGGATCGACGGCACGAGCGACACCACCACCACCATAGCCGGGCGAAGGACCGCGGAGGATGCTGGATTGGAACTTGACGCTCTTGCCTGGTCCTGGAATTGGCGGCTGGGGATACGGAGGCTGCTGCTGCTGCTGCTGCTGCGGGAACGAGGGCTCGCGAACGGTAGAAGCGGAAGGAGATGGGCTTGGGATCTCGACGGTACCCTGGCGCTCGTAGCCGTAGCCATTGTAGCCATTGAAGCCCAAGCCGGTGGAACCTCCATTGCCGTGGGAGATGATGTTGGGAAAGTTTCCGGGCGTAAAGGAAGGTCCGTCATAGATACCACGAGTAGCGGCCAACTTCTCTTTGAGCTCGTCGACTTGCTTCTGCAACTCCTTGTTCTTGCTGCAGGCCGCCTCCGTGTAGTCGTGCAAGGCACCATATGCCTTGGTCTGCTCGTCGAGTTGGATCTGCGCTTGCTGGAGCTGGTTCTGGATCTTGCCCTGTTCAGTGACGTCTTCCTGAGTGGCTCGGAGGATGATGTTGTCCTTGTCCTGGAGCTGGTCTTTGAGACGGCGAATCTCGTCCTCATACTGGTAGTTGGTGCTGTTCCTGGCATCGTTGACTGCCTGCTCGAGACGAACAATCTCAGAGTTCTTGGCACGGATCTGATCCTCATACTGGTGGTTGGTATTGTTCTTCGCATCCTCAACTGCCTGCTGGAGACGAGCAATCTCGGAACTCTTGATACGAATCTCATCGCCAAGACGGAGAATCTGTCCGCTGTGCTGATCGTTGGAGCGGCTGGACGCCACGAGGACCTCCTGCTGAAGACGGTCGGAGTTGTTAGTGGCCTTGTGCAACTGCTCGCGAAGAACGCGGATGTCATTCTCATACTGGAGCTTCGTGTCCTTTAGCTGGATGTTGAAAGATTGCTCGCCGGTGCGGAGACGGTCCTGAAGGTCGTTCATGCGGACGTTGCTGTTCGCATCGGCGTCGTTGTCCTGCTCGAGGCCGTTCCGGAAGATGTTATGCAAGGAGTCGACACCCTCTGGAGTGTTGATCCACTCGTCCATTCTCGCTGCAGTCCAATCCGGGTTGGCTTCGAGCATCTGATCGACGATGCGCCGGTGGAAGGAGGACTGGACTGGAACCTCGACAATCTTCTCGACTTCGACCAGGCGATTCAGATTGGCAGAAGCTGCAGATGAGGTAGCAGCGGCGGAAGGCATTCCAGAAGGCTGGTTGCCCGGAGAAGCACCAGAAGAGGACACACCGGAGGACTGAATGCCGGGAGTGGACGTGGTAGAAGTCACGACGGCTGGATTGGCGCCAGTCAGCTCCAGCAGGTTGACGTTCGGGTTGGCCTTCTTCCAGGCGACAGTCTGGTTGACGCAGACATCCTTGGAGCGCCATTCGCCCGACTTCCACTCGGTCATGGTGTTGTCGACGCCCTTGGATTACGGTTAGCCAAGGTAGTTTCGTGAGACGGGATCGCAGACAGACCTCTGGAGACATGCCACTCCCGTAAACATCATACTGATCGTGCATCCACGTCTTGGAGAAGGCAGACCAGCGATTCTTCCAGGCGGACATTCTCGCGCCGGTGAGAGACTGCTCTGCCAAAACGCCGGCCATCTTGACTGGAGTGACGTTGCCGATGATGAAGGTGCAGACTTTGGTGGTGGCGTTGAAGAGAGCATCCTCGTCCTGGAGATAAACAAACACATTAGCTGAATGATCTCGAGTAAGTCATCTTCCACGTATTGTACTGACCTTGGTGTCCCATCCAATGTACTGGAGCAACTTCATCATGGTCATCGGAGCAGGGAGGCAATGGTGAGAGACGTCGTGGGCAGCGCAGAACTGAACAATCTTGTTCTTGGTCGGGATGTCCCAACAGATCTTCTTCTGGCCAGTCTGCATGTCGACGTGGGACAGGTTGCAGTACATCTTGTTTGGCTCGTTGGTGGTGATGGCCTCGGGCAGAGTCGCGGAGGCTGCGTTGTACGCCATGGCGGCCGTGGTGATTGGATCTTTGGGGTGAGTGCGGCGGTGGCTTGGAGAGCGATAGGTCCTTTCCAAGCGTGTGGTGGTGAGAGGAAAGACGAGATTGGGAAAGGAGCGAGAGCGGGAGACAGTGAGAAGGGTAAACGGAATGTGATGTGAGGTAAGACGGGGAGTTCGGTGGCCGGAGTATCAGGAGAACAACAGAAGCCATGAAAAGCAGAGAAGCAAAGGAAGCATTGCCTACCTGCGCCTACGCTTGACCTGCATGGGTATACGCATCTCCAGCAAGTCGGGAGCCTCAGAGATGGTCCAGATGGCTCATGGTGGACCGATACCTACTCTTGATACGACGCTGTAATGTCATGAAGCTTATAGCCAGTGCCAGTCTCGGTGTGAAGCAAGTGTCTTGCCCGCCGCTCTATTGTCACGAGTTCATGACACTCTGTGATACTGAACCATCTCTGCACAATCCCGATCTTCCCAGGCAGTGTCATGAAGTTATGTATCCAGCACCTTAGACAGAGGCTGATGAAGCATGGCACGGCATGGCTGACAAGATTGGTGTTTGCCGGAGTACCCAATTCTCATCTGAATTCTTCAGAGAGGGCCTGTATCAGGCTGTGTGCAGAGTGTATCACTCAGGCCTGCAGGTATGCGCCGGAGCCTCACCCGCGCCGAGGTGGACATGACCGCTCCGTGCTCTTGCCGCAGCCCATTGGCCGATCGCCAGCATTCCATCGAGCATATACCCATCTTTTGTCTCCGCCCAGCGATATTCCTGCTCAGATTACCGTTGTGCGCCAACAGGCCTCGTTGTCCGCCCGCCACCGGGTGTTGTTGTTGTGCACCAGGTATCCATCTCGCTCGCTAATCGTCATCTTCTTCGAATCGGTCGTCCGGGCTACACTACCGTGTCACTACGGCGTTTCTGAAGGCGGGGTCGGCAGCGGCGGCGCCGGCGCAGAAAGGCGGATCGAAGCTATGCGCGGCAATAACAACAGTTCGTGATGATGGGGACTCGAAGTTGGCGATGGGAAATCGTGTCGGTGGTAGTGTGTGGTGGGTACTAGGTATCGGAGGAGCGAAGTCGAAACTTTGTCGGTGAAATTTCGTCACGTGACAAGCTATAACCAAACTGTCAAAGAGCGCCACGTGACTTCTCTGCAACACTCGCAGTGAATCTGCAAATGGCTGTTACAGACGATTGGGAGTCGTATAAAAAGTGCTTTCGATTGCACTTTGCTGCCTTCTCCCGAGTAGCTTATTCTGATTCCACATAAAATGAGAAAGGTGAGGCCGTGGCGGATGTATATTATATATCCTGACATAGACAATCTCTCAATTGGTATAATTAACAGCACGGGTGGAGAGCAGACGTACTGTCCTCGAAACAGAGCAAGCAGAAGAGATCACGAAAATGATAATAACCGGCATTTTCCGTACTGCGAGTTTGGGCGAACTGGAGACAGAAAGTGATACATTGCACAAGCTCTAGAGTAAGGAGATGTTCAAATGATAGTGTAGATCTCTAGATACTCAAGCTGAAGATAGTTGACAATCCCCAATAGGTATTTCCCATAACCCGTGCAGACCGATAGTTCGTTGCCTTATCAAGTTATCAAAGGCATATGTTGAAACTTGAATACATGTCCCGCCAACACACTTTCGCGCAATGATGTTGCTCGGCTTCTCCATCGGCTTTGCGGACAGCATGGGGTCAAAGTCTTTTCCAAGGTGTAAGGGGTCAGATGATCAGATCGTCAGTCTCGCGTCGGCTTATGGTTCATGGACTCCGTCACCAAAAGGAGAATCATGTACGTGATATTGGGCTACTGGCAGGTTAGCTCGAAGCCTGAATTGAAGAACATTGGATGCGCACTCACCACAGCGCGGACAATACTTCATCTTCATCTCAGAAGGGCCGTCTTGCTCGGCCCTGTCTGTGTCGTCCTCCTCTACCTGGAGTAGATCAATATATCTTGCCCTCTCCAAGTCAACGACGATGTCCAGAGCTTTCAGAACACACTCCGAACAGCAATCCCATAGGCCCACGGGCGCTACATCCGTCGGCAATGTCGGTGTAGGGCTCATCCCTGCCGCTCCTGCTGCAGCAGGAAATAAGAAAACAAACATGGGTCGCATCGCTTTGCCGATCAGACCGAAGAGCTCGAAACCTTCGCCGCAGTGTGATCCATACTGGGAGGTTGGGGCCGTGTATGGAATGTGGCCGTGTCCGACAGGCCAAGTCAGGCTCATTGGAGAGGTCTGGCTTCTGGCGGCGGTAACAAGGTCGACGATCTGCTTCTCCAGACTGGTATTGCTAGACCATAGATTCTCGCCCTGATGAATCCTTTCCAGCGTCCGAGTGTAACTTTCAGACAGAACCTGCAGTGGATTATTAGTAGAGCGCTCCCAGTTCGATTCGAAGTCGTCTCCGGAGCGTGGGTCGGGGACATCTACACAATAGTCCGTATAGACACTCGTGTAGACTGTGCTGAATGCTCGAGGCAATCCCAGTAGGTTGTGGTCAAGCGTGAGAAGAGACCACACCATTTCGACTTTCGCGCATGCACTTTCGCCATCCAAGAGCTTTGTGCCGTTCAATAGCTGTCTACAGTGGCTAGCTGTGTCAAGACAGAGGTTATCGCTGGCGATACTCCTGTTGATCAGCATCACACCAGCAATCTCTTGGTACCAGCACCGACAAGGCCAGACGCCAGCGACGATGGTCCAGAAAGCTGATATTAGCGCAACAGTCGAGATGAAAGCTAGAAGGAGTAGACAGCTCTCTCGAATCCACCAACGTGTGGTCAGGAGCTCGTCCAGGGCTTGCAAGCAGGCCTTTCGATGCGCATCATTCAGAAGAACACTTTCTTCAATCTGTTCGAGAGGGATATCGTAAGGATTCTCGACTATTTTGTCCTGGCTGAGAGCTCGAGTCTTTCGGACGCGGACATACACAAGCCTCTGACGGCTGGCGTACCAGAAGTGCCAGTAGAATGTGGCCCAGAACGGAAACAGGCAATACCAGACAATGGCGAACATGTAGCTGCCTTCGATCCTCGTTATCAGCGACAAATCATCGTCATCATTATGATTATCACTATTGAGGGTCTCCTCTTCCTCCATTTGGTTAATGGGAGTCTGGTCGTTTTGCTGATCGTTTCCGGCTTCCTCAATGTCCTTGTCGAGCACTCGGTGGTGGCCGTCTCGGAAGAAATCTTCCGGCGCGAGATGAGAGTCGTCCATTCCATGGGGAGATATCGTGGGCGAACGCAATCCGGGGAAATTCTCCGAAGCTTCTTGTGTGATTTCAGCGCTGCCTGCATCGGCGATGAATGGAGACGATGGCCTCATGCTTCGCGAGATCGCACCCTCTGACGCCTTATGTTGTTGCTGCGGTAAAATCGAGTGGTGCAAGCCAGAAGGGTGCAAGCCAGAAGTGAATGCTAGACTTCGGCTGGTCTGATGGTCTTCCGAGTCGCGCACACCGTCCTCGCTCGATGGTTCGGAGCTGCAGTTGTCCCGGGCACCAACATCAGATATCCCATCTGCGGGGTCATTTCGGGGAGAAGATGAGGGCCGTGGTGGCTGGGTGGCTGGTTGGGCCAAGATTGGAGTCTGTGTTGGCTTCTCCTCTTGAACGCTGTCCAAAAATGCCGTTGAAGGCGAGAAAGAATTGCTCTTCGTTGCAGGGCCTGTTCCATAAGCTTCACGGTGGAGAGACTCTGTGGGTGGCTGAGCGGTCAATCCTGGATGTGCTGAAGTCTTAGGGTCTGCGGATGAGCTGCGGTACTGGGTACAGGATGAGAGGACATCCAGCGTCGGGGATGCCGGACTGCTCAACTGTGCTTTCGTAGCAAGCACGGCCGCTGGGGCGTCTGTCTCCGAAAGATGTTTCTGAGCCGTCTGCTGCGAATCATCTACCACCTCGAATGGATTGCTGGTAGAGGTATAACGACTTGCATTCAAATGGCACTCGGTGATTTCCTGATCCACGGGGGATCGCCGCTGGGCATCCCCAACTCCTGAGGTTGGGGTCTGATTCCAACCGCTAGCCGACTTGGAGGTTGGGCTGGCATTTGGGCTGGCATTACCGTCCTCGTCCATCTTCACTTCCATTGATCGAACGCTGTGCAGCACCGCTTCCAGCAATATGATAAGGAGCAATGTATATGTAAGGCCCACTATTGTTGCTTCCGAGGTCAGAATTCGATCGAGGTCTGAGAAGGCCCAGAGCTCGTTGCGAAGTAGGGCGACTGATAGCAGAGCCCAGTGTTGAGAATCGATAACAGCAGTTCCAAGTACCTGTGAAGGCTGCGTAGATAAAATCCCCGGCTGAGCCTTCTCATCAACGTGTGCAACTGTCAAGTACTGGCGATGTGGCAGCGTGAGATCTCGCTTTGCTGAATCAGTAATTTCTTAAGCTATGAGATGATGAAGTCGGTGCGCCATGAGAATGGAAAAGCTCACTCACCTCGTTCTAGCGCGTTTGGCTCTCTGGGAGGTGCGTAGAAGCAAGCAAAGCACCAAGCTCGGCCCGAAAATGCGGACGCCGAACCTAGTGTCACATTAGCCTTCCCTGAACATCGACTTTACACGCTCTCTGACAACGACCCAGCAATCGTATTCTTCCACATTTTGGAGCCGGAGCACCCCTTCATACCGAGGTTGCAAATATTGTCGTTGCACATGACGCAATTCTGCTTCAAGCACGAGCACTATCTCTTGTGCTTTGTTCCGTTGCTTGCAAACGGTGTCCAACGAGTGATCTGTCGAGGACAACGATATCTTCATGATTGAAAGTTACATGAGCAGCCCGCAACGCTCGTTCCCAGCGCTGGGTCGCCCAGGAGAGGCAAATTGCAGTCTTATCCAGTCCGTCAACGCCCATGGCTTGGCGTGCGTTCAGTACATTTCATCTGCCAAATATCGGCCGATTTGCCTCACAAGACTGCCATGAATCCAAGTGCTAAAGACCAGAGAGGCTTGCCGCCACAGCAAGATCAGCGCCAAAATGTGAAATCGACCGGCTCCCAGCTTCCGCAACATCCAGAATTTCCACGGCTTCCGAAGCTTCAGCGCGAGAGCGTGCATCCGAAGGGCTCATATCCTTCACCATTTCCACGGCTTCCGACTCGACCCTCGTCTCAGGCGCAGACCGCAATCACCCGTAGTGTCGCACCACAGGGGCCAGCCATGCCCCACGAAAGCCATCCACGGCTGCCGGTTCCGCCGTCACAGTTGATCTCCAGCACCAGGTACGAAGTCACGCCTAGTCTCGAAATTCGAGAACAGCAGAATACTGTACCACAGATGCTTCACGACGCTCGGCCATTGTTGCCACTTCAGCCCACACAAGTGGACTTCAGTACCAAGAGCGGAGCGATGCTTGGGCCCAAACTCCGACTGCAGCAAGACGATGTACCAACACAGCGGATGCCCGGCGTCTCTCGACCAGCGTACCCGTCTTGGAGTCGTGCAATAGGAAGCCACAGTCAAGACCCTCAGTTCGATCTCGGGCGGCCCTCGACCGACAGCAGTGCATGGCGCAAGCCCGATGACGAGTACGAGGAGGACGACTCAGAAGAGGACGGAGATCCCAACTCCTTTCCGCAGTTCAGTAATCTTGAGCTATCTCAACAGAGCCGCAATGTTATACAGCAAAGTCCTTTCCCGGCAGCCAGAGAGAGGGAGCCGAATGATGTCAATGGTACTTCAAAAGATGTGAAGGCAGACGAGGACCTCAAAACACCTGCGCTCGCTAGAGTGGATCCAGACCCAGGTACCGCGAAGACTCCAGTCGTTTCGAGAAATCCCGGGATCAACGTTTTACTACTGTGCGCGGGTACGATCTTCGCTGTGGTGCTCGGTGTTCTCGTCGTACCGCTTCACTCCTCGCTCTTCTCGACGCCAGGGGCGGGAATTCTACTACCAGTACACTCGTTTCCTTCTCTTGATAGCACGGTGGCTCATCGACATGCCTGGCAGCTGGAGCTATCCAAGCTTGAGGCGCCAGTCGCAAGCTTATCGGAGGCCAAAGGTCTTGTGAATATATCGCGGGCCTGTAGAAAGGAGTCGTTACTACCGCCGACCTCTGTTCAATCTGCGATAGAAAGCATTCGGAAGCTCAGCGCCGGTGTCAAGAGGGCCTGGACAGATCAGCAGGGGCATACATTGGAGAAGGAAGAGCCTTTCACCCTGACAACTGCAATAAGAAGGCCTGAGCTTGGTGCTCGGCAGCCTAACTGGCGGAACGTTGTACACGGACACGCTGTTAGCGTTGCACTCTTCTGGCGGAAGTGGCTAAAAGCTCGATTGAGCTCGCCAGAGATGGCGATTTGGACACAATATCTCCCAACAGGCATCCATCACACTCTTCTCCCAAGATTGGACCATTTCATTGCGTCTTATCCGCCAATAGCTTGGGCAAGAGATATCCGACACGCCATAGCCGAGCTCGGCTCGCAGTTGGACCGCTGCTCGTGCTCCTCGAACCCAGTGACTTCAGTCGTACGACCTTGCCGCCTATTGCAGATTCCCGCCACGCTCCGCCGCCTCCAGGGCATCCATGATGAAGCCCGCCGTCTTACAAGACTTTCTCGCTGCGACTCGGATGATGCTGGATTGAGGTGTGTCACAGCTTCGGCGAAGGACCTCATGGAAATGACCCGGACGGCAAGGAGTGAGCTGCAAGCCTGGACGGAAGGATGGCTGCACTTGCTCTTGGGCGGCTCGGGAAAGGAGAGCCTGCGTGAGATGCTGGAGGGCGGTGATGTCGCCGATGAGGTGCTGTGGCAGTTGTGGGCGGCGGGCCGAGACAGCCGTCAGGAGTTGCTGGTATGGATGGCGAGGGTAGAGGACGTGATATGGGCGGGTGTCGACGCCATACAAGGTTGAGTAAGATTGAGCAAGATAGGAGGTGGTGGAAGAAAGGAGTGGAGAGAGCGGAGAGAGCGGAGGCGGGACCGGGAGCGGGGGCGGGACTTATTGCGGGGACGGGACTGATTGTGGGGACGGGATCGGGAGCGGAGACGGGATCGGGAGCGGAGACGGGATCGGTAGCGGGAAGGGCTTCCTCAGGCGACAACAAGCTGGGGCGAGATATGATTATCAGACTTCACGTTCCACCAGCGACTCACCTGCAACTCGCGTCTCACAGCTGCAAGATACGTAAACCATGGCAACAAAGGCTTCAAAGCCCATTCAGCCACTCGCCTGCGTCAACACTTATTCTTCAGCATGTCGAAGATCTGGTTCGAGACTGTCTGACTGATTTAGACTGAGACTGGTACCGCGGCATCTTGTCTCATCTGCTCGAGGCTTTTGATCCTCCACGGCTTCTTTGTCACTGTATCCCGCGAATCACCACCGAAAGCCGATGCACTTCACGACAGCTGTTGCCAGAAGGCCCAGAACCTTCACGCGCTATACGCGAGATGTCTCGTCAAGCTGCGAGTCTTGTCGCGGAGCTTGCTGAAGCAAACGATTCACTTGTCTTGCCAGGATAGACAAGGGCCCAAGAACAAAGAGCCACGGACACCCAAAAGTGAGTACAAAAGCCACGCCTCGGCCGCGTCGGCAGCAGTGATGGCTTCTGCAAGTCACTGTTCCGTCTCCCATACTTCACCCCTGGACAACGCATCCCACACATAAGCGCAGCGACGGAAGCGCAGCGACGCCGAGAGACCCAGACCATTCTAGTTCCTCCCAATCCCCCTTCTCAACTTCTCAAGCACCCGACCTTCATTATCAGTCCCGAGACAGCAAAGGCCACACATCCAAAACGCAGTGACGAACGGAGACCACGTCACCACCCAACAGATCGCATCTCTATCAATACTCCCCACGGCGCCATCCATCAGCATGCCCCCGGAACTGAGGAAGAGAAATGAGGACGGCAGAGCATTATTGCCATCAGCAGACGAGAAAATGACGGCAGTGGCGACAGAGCCACGCACACAGAAGAAGAAGATGGACAAAGATATCTCAAAAGCTGTCTCTGGAGATATCGCAGGCCCTACTGCCCAAGCCTCGCCAGCTCCACGTGGTAGGGGACGACCAAAGAAGGTCAGCAAAGGAGCTACAAAGACCAGCGCCGGCAGTGGTTTTGATGCCGGCTTGGAACCCGAAGGTGCCGACTCTGGGTATCGAGGAGACGTCTCTGTGATGTCCCAGGACGGCGGTCTTGGGACGGAAAGCAAGGAGTTCCAAACGACTGACAATGCGCATACCCGATCAGGCATCAGCAGCTCTCGCCTTGATGACAAGTCGCCTCGGGAGGCCATTCGAGTCTCCTCCAGCAGCTCCCACCATCCCAGCCAGCACAGCTCTGGCGAATCTCGCAAATGGTGGATCCTGATCGCCCTCTGTTTGACTTGCTTGCTATATCTCGCCGTCTTGTTTCGGCAGAACACGACTCCCACCGAGACAACAGGCAACGGACGCAACGAAAGTGGTGGAAGAAGCGATGCGCCGCTTGTGGACGACATAACGTATCACGTTGGTCCTGACGGGCGTTCTCTCGAGCGCAAGGTCAAGAAAGGCAAAGATCCCTGGGCTGGAGATAGGCTTCCGCGCAAGAAGGTTGTTTGAAGGGTGAAGTGGAAGTTCAGCCCACGCAGGAAATTTGAGGATTTGGTATCAGGGTTTTGGTATCAGGGTTTTGGTATCAGAGAATTGGTATCAGGGAATTGGTATCAGGGAATTGGTATCAGGGAATTGGTATTAGACAACGAAATGGAGTTGGTAACTTGGTTGAAGAGATAATGGGAGCGCACTGCTGGGCTGGAATTGCAGTGCACTTAGTGGATCTGTTGTGGTATGGTCGGCTGACAGATCATTGATCGCAAGGAAATGTCTTTATACTGTTGTCTGATAAACTATTAATGGGACAGGGTCTTCTTGGCTGATGACTCAGCTTCTTTGTATTCAAATGGTCGAGTTCAGCCGAAAGGGGAGAAAGGTCCTCTATACCATTAATTCAATTTTGCAGACCTCCCTCCGGACTTCCGTAGTACGTTCGAATTGCTATCTCCATCATATGATGGCGACTCAGCGGCTGCTCGTTCTCCTGAGTTTTCTGCTCCTCACGGCAGTCTAATTGGAAAATGCAAATCTGAACCGAATTTTATTTGGATATCCAGATCTGAAGAAACTCACGCTGGACGGCCTTGACTCCAACCAACCTACTCGAGCAGCAGCATTGCCTGCTCGTCGCGAACGACGACTCAATGACTCGATGATTCGTTCATACCGCTTCAATACGAGCGCCCCCTACCTTTCTACTCGTCTGTACCGTTCGGAAGAGAAATGCGGAAGAGAAATGAATTGGAGCTATGCTAATGTTCTCTCTTCTACTCGTCTACGCAAGACCGTCTTCTTCGGCCGTTGGCGCGGTATTTTATCTCTACTCGACGAACTTGGTAGCAACGCACATTCAGATCAAATCTGGAGCCGCGCCCACGATTGCCGTGCTCTGGACGAAGCGGCTGGGAAGCTAAAGACAATCTATTTCGACATGGCGCAGATTAGGGGGCAATCTGGAGCTACGGGTCACGGCCTCAGATCACTTAACGATATCGTCGAGGCTCGCCGCGGAGCAGTGAAGTCTGACGAGCGAATACGATATCTCCAATCGCTACGAAACTAGTATTTCGTCCAATATCTACAAATCTTGGCGGTCTCGATCGTTGACGGATACAAAGACCGAGGGCAATAATTGGGATCATTTAAAAGATGGGATACGCCAAGGACTAGATTAATCAAATGAGATTCCAGCCAAAAAGCTGCTAAGGAGGCTGTAGTAGTTGTGACCGTGGGACACGTGGGCGGAGTTTTGAAGACTGGGGAGTCTCTTTCTATGGTCACAACGTTGGTGTTTCATAAGCCATGCCAACAGAAACGACCGTAGGGCATATTCGTCAGCCTCGAGAAGTGAGGCCTTCCCTTCTTTGGTCATACCTCCAGTACACAAGGAGCTTCTAAGGCAAGGCGCCGGAACGAAACACATTAGGAGCTTTCGCAAAAATCGCGAAGGCGAGGCATGACTTAGCTCTCCCAACGTTCTAGTCTGTTCATAGACGATGTGCAACCGCAGCCCGGAGTGAGTGTATAGACGCCCTCTCACGTCCTATATTGAATAGTAAACTGTACGCCCTCTTTTGAACTGTGGACAGACACTTGTCCCTGCTTTCCATAGCCTCCTCCCGGCTCCGCCTAGTCTTCGCACTCTGGACCTTAGTAGGACAGCAGTGGAACGAGTCGTACCTGGTATCCCTTGACAGTCGGTACTAACGTGACTCTTCCATGGTATCTTGAATGCAGCACAGATTATACAGAAGGATGTCGAGGCACAGGGCGATATGTCAAGCATACTTAGAGGTCCGGGCATATTGACATACAACGAGACGAGTCACCTGACAAATGCTTTTGGGACTGTGTAATGCAGCTAGCTGTCCGTTCATTACCCATTCTTTCCTCTCGAGGCAGTGTATTACGTCAGTCCAACATTGGTACGCTTAGACATATAGCTTTGGAATTTGCACCTATAGGAATTGCACTCATGGAAAATGCACTCTTACGCAATGCACTCACTTTTGGCCCATTTCTTCGTAAGCTGCGCTATTATAGAACGTACAAGTCCATCGACCCGAGCTCTTAAGATTTCGTAGATCGTAAGGGATGGGCTGGGAGCAGATCGAAGACATGCGAAGTCCCTTTTAACTTGCCTACTCGTGAGATCTTCGAAAAGGCCTACCGTCTACATATCTCGGTGCACCTACTCAGCGCTGGGCTCACTTATCCGGTCCGCCACGATCGAGGTCCTGCCTAAGTCTTCGGGCGATTCGTTCGTCCCTGTTGGAGCTGCAATATTGAACGTTAGCTACATAGGCATCGTATTACTTTTGAAGCCGGAGACAAAGGTATTGTCGGGAGGGCTTAGCTCACATATGTCTCCTTTGCGATCGATTAATCGAGTGCTTTCAGACGTCCAGGCAGAGCAATTTATTTGCCATTGAGTGACCATGCTTGTACTTTCCGGTCATCTGCTGGACGTCCGCTTATCTCATAATTCTTAGCTACTTTTCGAGACCTTTCAGTCCCTCGGCAAAGCTCTCTCCCAGATTTGAAATGAAGCTCCTCTCGGTTGGCGCGGGATACAGCGAGCTTTCTGGTACTGTAGGACTTGTCATTTCGCGACTCAGCGAATTATGTTACCGTACGATGGGTCGCCTGCGGCCTGAGCGAACTGGGCGCCGATGCCAACGGCTGGGGAGCAAACACCGGAATCCTCTGGTCGTTCCCTGATCTCATGCTTATGTCCACTCCTGATGTACTCCTAGTGGTTGATATTTCCCAAGCATTCAACAATCCAGATAAAGTCCAAATGAGCACGAATCAACTCGTGTTCGATCAAAAGCGGCATTAAGACGCAACCATCTCACGCCCGAGATTGATAAGGAACGAAAGCATTGACACTGTGACGCGACTCATGTCCTTGTTCATTATCGTCGAACAGGTATCGAATAGGTACTGTTCAAAAGCTAGAGCTTTGGAGTCGATACGCCGGAGCTCTGCGTTTGGTGAAGGGTGGCTTTCAGGTCTGGAGCATCCTCGAGGTGTTCCGCCGTCAAAGTCACACCTGCGAGTAATTGCTGTCTTCTTCGATTGTGGTGATACTAAGAGTTCTTGAGACAAGAAGTGTTGAGCCGATTTTTTGTTCTTCATAAAGCTCTATGTTAACTGTGAAGAGCTCGAACGAATCGCAGAAATGCCTCCTCGAGGTCTTTGAAGACTGTCTTCGCCTTGATTGCTCCGTGAAGTTGCCCGCACCCAAGTGCGTCGCAGTCCAAACAATCGGATCGTCCTAATGCTGTGAAGATACCGGGTTCTTTCATCCACCATGACAACCGTCCGAGCAGCTCCACTGTCCACTAGAACCAAAGCAGCCACGAAGCGCAGATACAAACCAGCAGCCAGGTGGGCAAGAGAGCTCTCATAAAGTAGACAGACAGCGCAGTTTTCACAGCGCGAGCCAGAAGAGACGAACCGGCACCATCGCGGTAGTGAAAAATGATGGCGAGCAGAACGGCTCCCGCAAGCCAGTTTGGAATAGAGACATCGATATCGCAGCCGTCTGGACCGATGCTGAAGCCAAGGCTACGACCACTGCGAGTCTCTGCAGAGTCTGCACGCATGGAGCGACTGCGCGCCTCTTCTTTGCAATCGGCGAGCGCCTTCGAAGGACCTCTGCCGCAGCTCAGATGTAACTTTGTCTTGCTCTTGACCACTTCTCTGAGCTTCTCGACCGCAGTATCCAGGTCCGCGGAAATGTTGAGAGCTCGATCCTCCCGTAGCTCATTCGGGTCAGGGTCACCGCGTCGATTATCACCAAATGCCTGGGCCTGGACCTGGCTTTTCGCCTGCTGAAATCGGTCTTTCTGTACAACGGTCAGTTCAGGAAGCGGATCATGAAGCAGATTATCCGTGACTCCGTGCCTTGGAAGTACAGCGCTGGATACTCGCTTCATGATCTCCCCGTCGTATAAGGAATCCTCCCAACATCTTTTCCTCCGAACTCGACGGTGTCTTTGGCATGCCTCTTGTAGGAATCGCAGATGTATGACTGACATCTCGCGAGTTGATCGTGGGTCGTCGTGGGATGGTCGATGGCGTGTGAGGATCGAGAGGCGCGGTCTTGCTGGCGCAACCTTTATTGGGCTCGCCGCCCTCGACGGAGTACTGCCACTTGGAGTTGCGCACCATGATTGCGATGCTGGATCGATGGAATGCGTCGGGGTCTGGAGAAGGGCAGAGGTGGGTTTAGTTCAGGTCACTCTGGTGGATAACCGCCGGCACGGCGCAATCGCTGGCGCTCAATAACAAATGAAGGCAAGTAGCAGGAATGCGATGGCAAAGACGTGCAATCGTTGTTGCTGATCGCGGGTGGTGTTAATGATGTGTGCGGTCGTCGGTCGAGGTGAAGTGAGACCAGCCTTCGGGCTCGGTTGTGCTTCCGAAACTTTAAGTGCTCGCTTGCATGTGAATATCATGTAATGTGTGCACGTGGCTCTGATTTCGCACTTACGTACTGTCTTGCCGACTGAATACTCGAGACAGAAAATGCTCCACTGCAATAAGCACTTGCTGGATCAAGAGCGAGCATGGCAGAACCAAGGCTTTTCCTAACTAGTATCATCCACCGCGACTCAATCCCGCGAGCGCGCAAAGCAGGTGGTGCAAAGCCGAAGGATCCACCTTGGTTCTTGCAGTAATTATCTCTTCCTAACAGAAGTTAGAACCGAGCTGCGTGATCCAAAACTGGTGACAGCGGGATGCAGACCTCCGTTCAAGAGCTCGCAGCGTGATTCGGAGCTCGATTGCCGGAGCGGTAGGGCGTATCATTCGGGACGACTTATTGTTCCTTGTCGGGGGAGTATCTGTCACGCTTCGAGATCCTGTGTCTTCGAAGTTCCAGAGCAAGAGGCAGTGATGGCCAAATCATGACGCAATTGCATGTTGGAAGCTCTGGTGGTTGACAACTATCCATTTGCCGGGCGGACCCGAATCAAAGGAAGTCTGAACATGAAAGGGGATCAAGATTTTCGGTCGACCTTTTGCCTTTTCCCTTCTCTATAAGCAATTATGATTAGGGGTTCTGCAACCATCCTTACCATCCCCACTTGCTTGCGATTTTATGTCCGAGCGTCTTGTTGCGTGTCTTATAACGTGCAGTATGGGAAAAGGATGCTTGTCAGTACTGGGACAGCATACTCACACCGTGAGTGTATTCGCAACGCATGTATTCTCGACCCATGCTGTCATGGGTGTTCAGTATTATGAAGCGATCATCTCCCGACTCTTCTCGAGGCACACCTCGTGCACCCAATCTAGCGAAACGCTTATATTCAATGTCTTGAAGGATGCGAACTCGCTTTGCAGCGCAATGTGACGCCAACACTCCACCTCCTAGACGCCCCGGTCGACTTCGAAACATTAGCTCCAAAAGTTCTTCAGAGACTGCTTGATGTGTGTTGCGGGTGTTGCGTGTATTGTCGCTCAAGGATCTCGTGTTTGCAGATGCACTGTTGCTCGTCACTCAGCAGATTAAGCATCTTGACAACACCAAATGTCACGTCATGCTATCGCTCTCTTTTCGGTGCCGCCGCTTGTCGAGTCGGCGGGACGATCCTCGATCTCTCCTCGTGGAGTCTGATGGTCACGAAGGGCTCACAGCGGTCATGCTGAGCACAGAATTGGAAACGCCGGCTCCGCAGATATCTTCAATGGGTTTGATGCGCGGCGTGGGTCTTTCAGGAATCTCCCGCCAACGACACTATATTACTGCATTGACTGCTCCTCAAGGCCGCAGGGCATTCATCTCCGCCGCTTCGAACACTGGGCTCTCGGCTCTTCTGCTCGCGGAACCGGCTCGACCGATGGCAAGCTGCTCCTACCAGCCGTCGTATTGCCGCTGGGAATTCTCTCTCGGTTGGTCCATCATCTTGTGTCGATCTGCGGCGCCCCGCAGTCTGCAAGCTTGAGAAACTCGTCTCGCTGGAGCAGCGCGAGTGGGAAAGCTCCAATTTGCCTTTCGGTGCCGCCTTCGCAGGACGATGTCCAGTGTCGAATCGTGGAAATATTATTGTGTGAATTGATTTTTGGTGTGTAGCGAGAGATGGAGGAGTTCTTGTAAACCTCCATGGCTTGCGAGGCGGCGTGCCCTTCGGTGAATGGAGTCTGACTCGACACAGAGGTGACGTCTGAGATCAGGATGCAGCGAAAAGCCGTGGCCCCGCAAGCTTTAGTGCCAGGCTAGCATCGATTTCCATGCGGCATACACGTGGGGCGGAGCTTGCCGAGCCGGCCGAGCTTCTACAACCTCACTTTGTTCACGCTGTAGGTGATGCTTCTTGAACATGACCCGGGTGAAACACGAGATTGTGGTTTGTATCGCACGATAACCGTCATCAAGTGCTTTGGATGATTGTCTCCATCTCCATACGCCGCACCCTCTCTCCAGGCATTTGCGCGCTCCACTGCCTTCCCCCTTCGTCCTCGCATCGAGTTTTCTACATCAGGTCGCTAGAGACGGATGGATGAAAGCTTCTACCTCTGCACATCGATTGTCTCGCGCAATGATGCCCAGGGATCGAGGAGCAGATCTGAACGCAGCAGCGAAGTTTCACGAAGCGACTGCACCCCCGGGCCCGGAGAAAAGGTTGTTCCGGCTTCCCGTCTGAGAAGGATGTAGCTACAGTCTACTCTCCGTTCGCGACGAGGACAATACATACCGAGACGGCTTCTCGACGGGGGAATGACAGGAAATTTCACACGTAGCGTATGGTCTGAGGGGGACTTGAGGGACACTGCGGCATTCAAGGCTGCTCTACCACTGTACGATAACGCCGATGCTTGGCGTCTTTGTCCTGGAACATAAGAGAAGAGGAGGAAATTACTATCCATAACCGCTGGAGTCGACAGCCGGCGAATTAGCTACTTGGAAGGTCTCAAGCAGTGCGCACTCCACCCATTTAGCTACCGCGGAAAGAAACTACAACACACCGCGTGGCGCCGATATTCGTAAGACTATGCACGCACTGCTGGAATTTCGATGGCATGAACGCGTGCGTTCGAGCATGGAGAATGAGACGATCATCTACAGCATTGCACCACTGCAGTACGAGTGCCTGCTCTATGAGTGCACGCTCTAAGTGTGCATTCTCTAAGTGTGCACACCCACAGGTGTCTTCCTTACGAGTGCATTTCCCACAAGTACATCTTTCGTGGCTGCATGGATTTCGAGAATCCGAGTACATCTTTCGTGGCTGCATGGGTCCGCCCCATCGACTGGGTGATCAATGGCAAAAAGTCTCTCACCTTGCGTATACACGCTCGCATCCCACGGTTTTGGTAAGTATGCTACGAGCCCAGTGTACAACTGTAGTACGCGACTATCGCAGTATCGATCGTGGCGGCAAGGGCACCAAGTCCGCCTGGAACAACACTGCGTGGAGACGAAGGCGTCTTCTGATACTCAAGTCTCAATGGGACTCGGGAGCAAAAGGCCTGAGAGGTCCGCGACCGTTCGTTCTCTCCTAACAAATGCAGATCTTCGATGACCTCGACAAGTCAAAGGCTACCACAAGGCAATAAACGCATCATCAGCAACCAGACCGTTCTCCGCGACGGAAAAGGTCTTGTCTGAAGGTTTCGATCACTCTTGATTATGCAGGTGCAACAACCATTGTAACGTCAGTGGCAATGGCTTCCGAGCGTACGCGGAACTCTTCTACAGAAGGTCCTATTACGCAGGACGATGGCAAGATACAGTCAGCCATGCCGAATGCGATCGGTCTCTACGCCAAGGAAGAAATGTAGAGCAGAGCTTGGAAGAACGAAGAGATCTTGCTAACCGTCAGAAAAGAACTCTGTTCGCTCTACCTCTGCAAAGCTGTGTATCGCCAGAGCTTTTCGTACGAGTCTTCAACCGAAGGTTTCCGTGACTTCTACCCCTTACAAAACACCTTTTGCCCACCGAACCAGTTATCACTGTGACTGCGAGTCATAGAGAGGGCCTACTGTCGACATCGCTTCCCAGTATCCGATACCTACACGACGATCTTTCCTGCAACTTGACGTTCGTCGACGTCTGGCTCGTAGACGGCAGTACACGGAAGAGGACCAGGAAACGACAAAGCCCGAGTCCAAATCCTTCTTTCGTTACAACAGAGATACAGGCTTGCAACAGCCTAGAAGACTAGAAGTCGGGATCTCTGGACTCCTGACCGCTCACCCACACACACATGGGCCACTCCAATTGTCGAGAGCGGAACGTACCTGCTTCAATCACACGCGACGAATGCTGCTTTGATTCAAATAAATAAGAGGACGACTTCTGACCCACGACGACCTGTTCCGAGCCTCGGTCTCTGCAGCGCACCCGTCCATTGACTACAGAACTCTCGTGTCATACTACGCCCGGCGAGCGAGCATCAGTGCATTGCATCTGCAACGACGCCTTCGATACATGGGCGATTTCTGATCTGCTGGCTTTGCAATCTTTTGACCGTACTCGAGGCGCACTTCTCTCACCTCGCAAGAAGCGAACGGGATACTAGGGACGTATGCAGCGTGAGATCGCAGAAGCGAATACATACAGATCTCGGATGCCGCCACCTCTCCGCATCACGTTGATCACGTCGAGGAGGCCGCGATTGGACATGGTCCGGATTGTCATTCGTATCTCGCAATTTGAAAAGCACGAGATCTCCCAAGCCAAGATGGCTTCCACTGGAGTCCGGGCACAAAATGCTACACGACATGCTGAAGAACGTCCTTCCATAGAGACAGCCATTTATCGAACTGTACTCACAATACTGGCCATACTGTCTCCCGGCTTTCGAGGACAAGCTCAGGTACAGTGTGCCACTCAGCGTCATGAAGAAGTACCCACGAAAAGACCGGAAAGCGTGGAATATTCTCCTTTATGTTCAGAACCGCCGGCAGTAGTGAGAACAAGCTGGAAAGAAGAATTTCCAGTGTCAGCGCGGGAGTCGACCTTCGAAACTTGATAAAGAACCAGGAATTGAAGGAGTGATGGAATTGTAGCAGCACTGCGCGAGAGGCTATGACTTACCCCTACTATGCAAACTCGAGCTCGGCACCGAGCATAATCCCTAAGCCTACAAAACGGCCATGGTTCCCACAAACTTACATTTGTCGAACTGCAATTCTGCTCGCCGAAGGGTGGTGACTTCGATGAGTGATTTAATACGAAGACGAGACGCAGATGAAGGTCAGGGCATCTACACCCTGCCTCTTCTTCTCCACCAATTCGGCTACAGAGTCAAGCTAAAGGTACCGAGCCCACGAGTCAGTACTCGACACCGACGATTTGCATGTTTTTGAAGATCGCAAGAATCGCAAACGCGGCTTGTCCAAAGTGGTCAATGAAAGTCGAACATCAAAAACAGAAGAGAAAGAAACGTGGAAACGACTGCCTTAGGCGTGGATAAGCTGCTTGCAGCTCGTGATACTGGACCGAATCAAGGGACACGAACATAACACAATTCCAGTCACACTTGAATTGGGAATATCATTCTAAGCTAATCGGATAGGGGCCAGAAACTTCATCCCCTGACTGGTCTTCCGTTCCCTGACCCAAGCCGAAGGAGCCAAAAGTGCCACTGCCTATCTGCCCCATACACTGCATCATCATCTTCTTCCAAACCAAACCGCTCTTGCAATCTCGAAAAGCACCTCTCCTCCTAATAAGCAGCACCGGGACGGACCTCTTCAACTCCGTTCACGTTCGCCACTTGCGGCTGATCGAACTCGAGCGCCTCCAAAACCAACGCCGCGACCATGACCGCCAGAACGATTCCATGTCCCACCAACTCCGCCGCCCAGCGTGAGGGCGATACTTGGGAGTACCGGTAACACGCGGTCTGTACCATCATCCATGCCGTGGTGAGGAGGATCACGACCGCTGTGGCCCAGAAGCAAGCGACGATCCATCTCCCTGCGAATCCTGCCGGGATGGCCTTTTCCTTCTTCGGCATGATGTTCTTCGACGGCGGTGTTTGGGTAGTACGACCTTGTCCTTGTTCTTGACCTTGTCCTTGCTCCGTTCGTCGTCGAAGAGAAAGCGAGCTCGGCGAACTGCCTTGGATATGATCCGGAGCAAGCTGTCCGACTCGAACTCCGCTGTCCATTTCATCTCCGATACGGATGGGGCTGTCTTCTGCGAGGCCGAGCAGGCGAGTTGGATTGAGGAGAAGTGGCAGCTCGGGAAACTCGAGCTTCTCGTATACCCGCATGGTGTCGTGGGCGAACTTGGTGGCGGCTGATCGATCACTTTCAGATGCTTCCGTCGCGTCGGCGGCTCGGTGTTGGTGTGGAATATGAGCAGCGCCGATCTCGTGGTCACCCTCGTCGTCAATCTCAGCGTCAGTCTCGTCGTCACCAGTCTCTCCTTCTCCACCATTCTCCTCGTCATTCTCGTCTCCAGCAGCTGCACCACGTTCCCAAGAACCAAGACGACGTAGCTGCTCCTGCTCCTGCTCTGTCGGAGCGACGCCAACAGCCTGGTTCTCTTCCGGATACTCTCCAGGACAAGGTACTCGCTGCTGCTGTAACGTCTGTTGTTGCTGCTGCTCTTCGTATGCGCCTCCACGAGAGAAGATATCCGCTTGTTGCTGTTGCTGTCGCTGTTGCTGTACGGTCTGCACATCGACTCGGCCAGTGCGACTGCTGCTGCTGCTGCAGTCAACAACATCTGGTACCTCACGAGTAGCAGGCTGTAGAGCGCCGAAGTTGCTCGCCGGAACGTCCTCCTCTTGATCATCATCATCAAGAAGAGCCCGCTGGTCGTCAAAACTCTGCACCACACCATCATCGTACAAATCCAAAGCTGGCAAAGCAACTTCCGAGAAGTCGAACCCCGACCAACTCCCGCTGGCAGTCGTGCTAGCTTCTCCTCCTGTTCCTCCTCCTCTTCCTCCTACCACCAGCTCGAACTCGAGCAGTCCCACCCGATCGTCGACGATGATGCCTGGCGATGGGCTTCCACTTCCCTTCCCCTCTACTCCGCCCATCAGTCTCACGTCCTTTTGGTAAGACGACCGCCGACTATCTTCATCTTGACCGGAGGGGGTGTTGTTGACCGAAGACATGCTGGTGTTCCTCTTCTCCTCCTTTTGAGAATCGCTATGTGTTGCCGATATCCTGCCCCTGTCCGAGTCGAGTCGAGTCGTGGAATTCAATTGCTTGTGTAGGTTGTTACAACTTATCGATATAATTGTGGAGGATAGGTGAAAATCAAGTTGATTGTTATACGGAAGAAGGTGGGTTTAAGTACAGAAGTAGAGTGTGGATGTGTTGTTTACAAAGGGCAAATTCACTTTTGACTCGTTACTCGGGGGATAAATTCACTTCGGACTCGTCACTCGTTAGTTACTCGTTAGTTACTCGTTACTCGTTACTCGTTACTCGTTACTCGTTACTCGTTACTCGTTACTCGAGATAGAGAGGAAGAGACAATTCACTCGAGGTCGCTTGTATAGAACAATGCAATTGATTCTTGAAAGGAAACGAACAAAGGCTTTGTAAATGCCGAAACAAAGGAGCCTCTCTCTCTCTCTCTCCGACACTCGAAGTCACAACTTCTCCTCCACCTCCTCCCCTCTCCCCGAATGGAATCCCTAAGACCTCGACCGCCTCGACCCAACGACCCACCCCTCCCTCACAACGCCCTGCACAACCTCCTCCAACTCCCTCACAATGCCCCTCTCGGACCCCACCTTCCCGGCAATGCCACAAATCTCTCGGATCGTCTCATCGCGCCATTCTTCGATTCCGAGCGGAATGTCTACCGTGCGATCCCCGAGGATATCGAGACAACGCTCTTTGAGATTCCGTAGTCGGGCGGCGGAGGTCTGGAACGGCGTGGTGGATTGGAGATGTTGCAGGAGGAGGGCGAGGGAGGTGGTGTACAGGTCGAGTTGGATCGGACGGAGGTGGCGATATAAGGACCAGGAGGGGCGGGTGAGTCGGATCCAGAGTTCTGGAAGGAAGATCAAAGACGGAGGTGGGATCGGATGGTGGTGGTATTGTGGCCAGGTCGAGAGGATGTGCGGATCGTAGAGTTCTTGCGCGCGTGCGATGAGTGGGGAGGGGGTGTTTGATAGGATCTTTCAACTCCTGCGTTAGCAAAGTCCGTCCAACTATACGTCCATTCGACCATGAATGTAGGGGAGAGAAGAGAAACTCACAGCTTTGATCCCCTCCAACAAGCCTTCCGCATCCCGCACATATGTCACGGCAAAATCCCTTAGACCCAAGAATTCCCCACGTATTTCGAGGATCTCCCTTCGGACTCGCGCGAGGAATGCCGTCTTTTGAGACTCGTCCACCACTTCGCCTCCTCTTCGCACTTCCTCGCCCGTGCAGTCCCCTTCCAGAGCGGGACAGATCGGACTCCAATTTGTAGAGGTAGAGGTTCCATCGCTCCCTCTCCTCCCCCGACGAGCCATCGCGTCGGGATAAAAGGGCCATTCGGAGGGTTGGGAGTGGATGGCGCATTCCTTCTGGTCGATGTCGCAGATGACCGCGTGGGAGGTGGACAGGATGTGGGAGAAAGCGGGGATGTAGTGGGAATTGAGAAGGGAGAGGGTGGTGGTGATGGTTTTGACGGGGAGGCTAGGTGCTGTGTCTGTGTGTGTGTCGTGTGGTGGTGGAGTGGTGGTTGTGGTGGTGAAGATGAATTTTTTCGTCATGGAGAGTGTGAGGTCGATGAACACGAGGAGGAAGGGACTCAGGAGATAGAAGGCGATGAGGATGACGAAGAGGAGGAACTTCTCTTTTCTCGTCCAAGTCGTTGCTGTCGTTCGATCAGTGGAGGATTTGAGGATTCTCAGCAGAAAGTCGACTTTGCTTGCGTTAGTGGAGCACTTCGGACAGATGATTTGTTGGGTAGTCACGTCAACCGGCCAGGGTGAATGGAGACGGGGGATGCGTTTTGCTCCGCATTTGAAGCATTCCTGCGCGAAGAGAGGAGTATCGAGGATGGAGGAAGATCCCACGCTCATGGCACGGCGGCGATCGGGTGGTGGACGGTTCAAGATGGGATTGGGCTCGTCTCTCGCAGTGTCGCATTCATGTTTGCGTTGAGAGGGAAGCCCATCCAGTGGAATGTCATACACGGACCGCCTCCGCTGTCTGCCATCTGCAATGAACGGATGGTCCAGCACTGCGCGGAAGACATCTTCTGGATCGTCGTCCTGTCTCGGTGGAGACTTGAGAATGCTTCTCCGAGGCTCTGCTGTTCGAGAGGGATTGCTGTATGTTCCTGACGACGATTCACACGCTGTCGGTGAAGTTCCTTGGTGTATGCCGGTCGAGATCGACTCCGGGCCAAGAATTTGCGGAAGTGATGAACCAGATGTGGATGCCACGTCGGTTGGTATTGCTCTGGTGGAAACCCTCCGTCGAATCCCAGACGATCCTGACGCTTCCTGGCGTTGTCCAGTGAATGAGTCCGAAGGTGCATTATTGAAATCGTTTGAGCTCGACTTCCTTTCATCCGCTCCCGGGAGAGAAGGCGCAGATATAGCCAAAGGAGCTTGCGTTTGGCCTCCTTCTTCGGAGTTGTTGTCATGGTCCCGCACTCTGCTCCGTCGACGAAGCGAAGAATCCCTCCTCGGATGATGCTGCACTGCCGGATTGCGCATCGAGGAATCACTCGCTGGAGTAGGTCGAGCTGGTACATTCAGGTTTCTCGACTCTCCAGCATCGCCAACATTATTAGCAATGGCAGTCTGCTGCAGACCAGTTCCAATCCCCTGTGATCTCAAATACTCGCTTATCGCCTTTGCGGCCTCCAGGTTTGTGGACGCTCCTTCTTTCATGATGTTGAACTGGCTGCTAAGGCTTGTCCAGTCGGGGGTTGCATTGCCACCGGACGCCGCGGAAGAAGAAGGGGGAGGATTTGGGCGGGTTGTTGTCGGTGTTGAAATGATGGGAGGTGGGATGGCTCTGGTTGGTTGTACCTTTGAGGAGGAGGAAGATGAAGAAGGCTGACGACTCTCCTCCGAGTCCTCCCGGTGGGGTTGAGATGTCGTGTGAGGAAGAGATGCAGTTCTGCTGCCGCTGTGGTTTCTGGCAGTGGTGGATCTCTCATTGTTCTGCGGCGTATCTTCTTCCGTCCTCTGCGGAGAACGAGAGTGAGGCTGCTGTTGGCCTCCGGGGCGAAGAGAACCAAAGTTTCCTGCATTTGGAGAAGGAAAGCTCTTGGCCTGGACAGTTTGAGCGGCGTGTGCATTTCCACCTCCTCGCTGCTGCTGCTGCTGCTGCTGTAGGTGTACAGTCCTTCCAAAGTCGCCCCAACCATATGGTGAATCAACCGGATCATTCTCATCGGCATGGGGGACGCTTTGGGTGCCACCAACCCGAGGGAAGCGAAAAGTCGGAGTGAGATTCTCGTTGCGAGGCAGAGGATCCATTCGTCCATCACCCCTGGGCGGTATCGATGGCGTCACGCCCTGCATTTCGGACGCCGTCTTTCGATTTGGGGATGACAACAACGGCTTGGCCGTCGACAGCGGACTGGAACGCGTATGCTGCCGAAATGGAGGTTGTTGCTGTAGAGGACGATGTGGAGGAGGAACGACATCTCCCGCACGCTGCTGATGCTCTGCAGAGCCCAAACTCGGTGGTTCCCGACGGATGCCCTCGTTGCCATCTTTCCCTTTTCCCTTTCCCTTCCCCGAATCCTTCCCGATCACAGCCATCGACCTCATCGGATCATATTTCTCCGGAACACGAAGATAATTCTGTTCTTCTTCTTCTCTTCGTTCTCGTGACTCTTCTCCTTCGCTGGGCATGGTAGACTTCTTCTGATCTCGACCGGAATCATCACCACGAGTCGCTTTCCCCGAAAGACGGACTGCTGCTGAGGATGATGAGTCTGAGTCCTCAATGAACGCCTCTGTTGGTTCCCGCAAGACTTGTTCCCGCAGCGGCATCCCTTCCGCACTCCCGCTACCAACGTGGGATTGCGATCGCGATCGCGCAGGAGTAGAGACGGACGCAGAAGCAGGAGATGGCGGGATTTCGACCTGTAGTGTGGGAGAAGGAGTCTCGATCGATGGCTTCTTCTGGGTCCATTGCTCTGGTGCCGGCGTGGGGGGTCGTGGTAAGTCGGGAGGAGACGAGAGGTCGGGTGCACGGGTATTGCCTGGTTTGCTCGACGAAGTGCCTGGAGAGGAAACATTCTGCTGGAATCGAGGGAGGAAGTAATCCAGTGACGAGCGTCGGCTGGTGTCAGCTGGACGAGCTCCAGTGGTGGGCATTCCATAATTCCAAGGTGGAGGAGAAGGCGGTGGTGGCGGAGGCGGAGGGAACGCTGCTCGCGGGAGAGAGGGGAGCGATGCACCCATGGGAGTGTTTGCACTATTTGTACGACGTGGTGGAGGCGGAGTCGGTCCACGGGAGGAGGATTGCGGCGGAGTTGGACCACGAGCGGACTCAGAAGGCGAGCTTGTCCAGTCGTAAGCCGACACGGGCCGCGGTGATGGTCCTGATGGCCCTGATGGATAGTTTGCCTGCTGCCGAGGTTGCGGCCCTCTGAAAACGTTATGTTCCGGAAGGCGAGTGCTGGGGTCGACATCCCCTGGATCTCCACGGGCGAAACGCTCGACGCTGCCGACGACATTGGTGAGGAAGGAATCGAAGGATGACGGGGAGCCCGGACGGGTTGTGGACGAAGCAGCAGCAGCAGGAGCGGGGCGGGAGGCGGATGATGGTGGTGTGTTGTTGTGCGTTGCGAGATCTCGCTCCACTTGTCTGATAGTGTCGGTTTTCTGGAAGCCGAATGGTGAGCTGGGTCGGCTGCCTCTTGGCTCTCCTTTTCGGGGGAGATTCGGCGTGTCGGGCATGATGATGGTGACGTAGGTCTCTTGTCGAGTGAATGACAGTGATGATGATGCAGAAATGAGTCTCTTGTTCAGCGATGGCAGATGAAGGCGATGGACGATATATAAGATTTGGGGTGACGAAAAGGAAGAGAAGAAAGAGAGAGAGAGAGAGGAAGAAGAGAGAGGATGGAGGTGCGGGCGGGTGAGACAGGAGCAAGCAAACGCCGTCGGAGCTGTGTCACAGTATCGGGGTCCCGGGGAGCAAACGGGAGGAGAGATGCCAGTCTCGGACGTCCGTCAGCTCCTGGGAAATATATGCGCAGGTGGAGTGGAGAGAAGAATCGGTAACAGATGGTCTACCAGGTAACCGGATGAGTGCAGTGGTGCGGCAAAGTCTGATAGCGACACTGCGACGGGGAGATTCCACAATCTTACCTACGAGGCCTCCTACTGTATCATCGTGGGCAGAGACATATACTATGCAAAGATGTCATAGCCGCCCCATATCCTCCAGCGGCCAGTGTGTGTTCCCATCTCCAGTAGGACAATGCTCTTCACCACAGCTCCGTCCTCTTTCAACTCCTAAACAAGCTCCAAGCAGGCGTTCGACTTCGTCTCCCTTCGCTCAGCATCTCAGGTGTGCTAGTCATCCGGTTCGCAGCTCCTGTCCTACAATACGTGGGGAAAATCTCTGCTTTCTAGTCTTTGCCGCCTGTCCTTCGCCTACGTGTGTATGGGCGCATTCCCGTCTTCCTCTTTGCAGCGCAGTATGGAGCGTAGCACACATTCCGGCCGGATCCACCGTCCGTCACGGTCGTCGTGTCTTGTGAGCCGCGGCCCGCCTCTTCTACACTGTCGGTATCTCCATCGCGGCACGACAGATGCAATGCGTGCGTGCGTGGGGTGGGGATGTGTTCTTTATCGGACGAGGTCGTTGGACGTAGGTAAATAAGATCGAGAGTCGAAGGCGAGGCGAGGTATCGAGAGGGCGACCGGTGAGAGTGGATGCGATGCGTAGTAGAAGTGTAAGGCGGTAGGAAAGATAAGTAAGTGAGGAGAAGAGTGCGGCAGTAAAGAGATGCATAAAGAGATGTAGTGTGAGTTGTTATTAACGTCGGCGAGGAGATGGAATCCTGGAAGTGGGAGTCGATATCGATACCGATGTCGAGGGAGATTGGGGATTGGGCACTGTTACCTGGTACCTAGTAAGTCGTAGTGCGGGGCGGGGCGGGGCGGTGACGGGAGTGACGGACAGGCCCGGGGAGATTTGACGAAAATCTTGATTGAGCATGTTATGTGACAGACATTTGATGGAACATTTGATGGGACATTTGATGAGAGCATCGATGGCACTTTTGATGGGAGAATCGATGGGAGAATCGATGGGAAGCTTGATGGGAAACTGGACCGCGGGGCGGGGCTTCCGGGCGCAATTTTCCCCGACACGACTCATACAGCTAGCTGTAGGTTCACTTCGACGCATCCGCAATATTCTACACTATCCAGACTTCCACTATCGACAATCGCCATCGACAGTCCTTCTCTTCCCAACACCTCCACGCATTGCTTTCCATGCATCGCATCGCATCGCGTCTCTCTTCTCTCCTCCACCGATCCGATCCGATCCGATCCGATCCGACCCGACCCTATCCCAATCCCAAGCGACGCGACGCGACGCGCACGATGCAAACGGCAGCCTTCCATCCGCCGTCGCAAGGAGAGCAGGACACATCACACATTGCAGCGCGAAACATGAACAGCAGAGCGCAGCAGGACGAGAAACACATCGACGGAGGAGAAGAAGCGAGAAGCATGTCATGACCAGACGATGGGGATTGGCCGTCGCCGTCGCAATCACAAGCGGTATTGGCATTCCACGCGTAAACAAGCCTCGCGAGGCGCACACCGGCTGTAGGCGCATAGCTGCAGGCGCATACCAGCTGTAGAAGGACACATATCACCTCTCAAACATAACAACAAGAGGTATCTCTTCGGCCAACGCTCGAATTCGGCGTTTGTACCTATGTTGGTTCGTCCATCCCCGCGATTTCTTCCACACTTCTCCTCGTCAGCACTGCACACACCGTGACAAACCCACCTCGGAGAGAAGCCAGAGAACAGACGCGAAATGGCCACGACAGTCCCACTACCAGCAACCCCCGAGTCACTCGCCTACCAACTCCGCATCGAGAGACGCATCACATCTCTCCTCGCCCTCCTCCTCCTCCTCCTCCTCGCTCTCTCTCAGCTCCTGTCGAATCTCTTCCGCGACGGCGGCCAAGGCATTCCGATGCGGAAATCACGCCAACATCAAGGTCGCGATCCACTACACTGTCTGGCTTCCATGCTCGATTCGCATTCGGAAGACGGAGATGGAAATGGAAAGGAAGTCCTGCTCCCCTATGGTGTCGTCCCCGGAATCATGGGCATGTTGCTGCCTCTGAAGATCTCCCCCGATGGTGGAGAGGATGGAGAGCGGGTGACGACGTATGTTCTCTCTCTTCTTCCCTTTCTCTCTTCTCTCCTCCAACACACGATCTGAATCACCTGAACACACGGACTGAATTAGGCTGACTTGATTTCTTCACAGGTGGATGACCGGCTCCCTCCCCATCCATTACCCCAAATCTCTCCTCAATGCAGACCCGGAACTGCGAAGACTACATCTCGATCTGACGGCTGCCATGAGGAGGGATTTCTCTCGTACCAGCACGGCAGAGGGAAGTGGAAAGAGATTGATAGCAGTTTGGAATTCTCTGAGACGTCCTGCGAGGATTCATGATGATATCGCGGAGAGGATCGATGCTGCTCTGGATTTGGGCCAGAAGGGCAGGTGGGACTCTTGGGTGGAGACGGTGGCTTGCCGGTGGACATTGAATTGGACTGCTTCGCTGCCGTTGGCGCATGGATGGACCAAGAGGAAGGGAGTGGATTGTGATGCCTGGAGATTACAAAGGGAAGCTCTCGGGGGTTTGAGGATGCTTTTGGGTGTGGTAAGAGGCATGGAGGAGTTTTGTGCTTGGAAGGAAGAGGGAGACGACAGTGGTGAAGGGAGGCGGAGGGCGAGGATTGACGTGAGTGCTCTTCGAATGCCTTGTCCACTCTCTGTTCTGTTCCTACAAGAGTCATCGACTGACTGGATCAATATAATAGACACCCACCTCCCTCTCCATCGCCCGCAAACTCAAAACCACCATCTTGCAACGCATCGAAGAGCTCGCTCACGAAGAAGCCCTCTTCACCGTCCATCTCCTCCACCACCTCCATCCATCAACCCACTGCTCCCATCCCCATGACGAAGACGACGACAGCACCTGTCCACCCGCTTTCATCCCCGGCGCCACTACCGTTCCTCTCTTCCCCGAGGGCAACACAACCACACGATCCAACCGCCCTTTCCTCCTCCAATCTCCCTCCTACCTCTACGGCCTCCTCCCCGTCCCCGGGCGGCCCGAAACACAAGAGAAACTGCATTTCTACGCCGGATCATACGCCGCGGCCATCTGGGCGGAACTCTTAGCGGACATGGTCGTTCAGGGTATCAATCATGTCATTGAAAGGGAATGTGCGGGTGTCGTAGGGAAGAGTCGGAGACTTTTGGAGGACGTTCTCAGGGGCGTGGAAGAGGGACGGATCGAGAATGAGAGCTTGAATGATGGATGGCAGATTTTGGACCAGACGCGGGATTTGGTCCGGGAAGGGTTTGGATCTGCGCATAAGGACGAGGATCGGGATGGGAATGAGAGTAGTGCTGCCCTTCTCACCGGGATCTTCGCCGCGAGGACTCGACGACACGATCCTACTGGGCGATCCCACGACGATGACGACTTGGATGAGGAAGAATGCCACCAACTCCTTCACCGCACGACCTCCTCTTCCTCCTCCGACGAAGACGACGATTCTCCTCTCCCTCCTCTCACCCCCACGCAACGAAATCTCTGCACCTTCCTCCTCTCCGCCTCTCATTCCTACTCCGCCCCCCTCTCACAACGCTTCCTCTCCTCTTCCCCGCAAGACAAGAAAGCCGGCCTCCAGAATCTCCCCATGGATCGCGTGTGGAAGGGCAAGACGTGGGATTTGGAGTGGATGAGGGGGAGGATCACGCCCGAGCTTGAGGAGAGGGAGAGTGATGACGGGGTCGAGGAATGTCTGTTCTCCGCTCTCCGTCACGGCAGAGGGAATGACAATGGGAAAGGAAGAGGGGGCATTTGGGATGATACGGAGACGTATACCCTCGCCAAGGGCAGCGTGTGGATTTTCTGGTTAAAGGGTTCGAGGCCTGCGTGGATCGTTTCGGGAGGAGATGGAGGGGATCGTGGAGAGGATGAGGACGGAGAGGATGGTAGTGGTAGACAGGGAAGAAGAAGAAGGACAAGAGAGGTTTTAGGAGGAGGAGGAGAGGAGGATCTGGGAATCTCGGTGGATGATATTATTCGGATTCGAGGCAGGGGGAGGAAGGTGGGGGAGTAGGAAGTAAGGAGAAGAGGGGTAGAGGTAGTAGACAAGACATCTAGTCCGTCGAGGTATTCAAATCAATTCTCAGCACCGTACTGAGCTCTCGAATCCAATCGATCGATCCCGCTGCTCGCTACTGCCTACATGTGGCTATCAATTTGGAAAGAAATAGGAGCGGAGGTCTTTAGCGAACCTACACGGGCAGTGGAACTTCGTTCTTCAGATGCGCGAGCAGCGACGCTCCTTCGAGCATTACTATTATCCTCGGCGGACATCTCGAGACTATCCTTTCTCGCCAGGGGATGCTTCGGCACTGGAGCCAATTTTATATTGCCAGTTGTAGCGATTTACGGCGGGAGAGGAGTTTCTGTCAACACTATTCAATAGCTGTTAATCCCTTTTTTCGAAGAGGTATTGTTCGGTACAAGGGCTCGAAGGAGGGACACGAGGATGCAGTGTCTCCATTCCAAGTATATACTCTAAGAGTGCATGACCTAAGAGTGCATGGTCTAAGAGTGTATACTCTAAGAGTGCAACCTCTAAGAGTATATATTTCAAGGAGTGCTCCATGCAAGAGTGTACAGCTTAGAAGTGTTCCCTCTACGAGTGTTAGCTCTACCTGCTTAGCACTTCCCTACCACGCTACTCTAGATGTAAACCGGTTTAATAGTTGGCCTCCTGCCCTGCTCTTATGCCGCGTTCAAAAGGAGATTGTAGCGCGGAGGTTGTGGTCTGCTCTACGGGCGGGTTCGATTTTATCGGCATCGTCGATACTCTCTGCAGATTGCATCAGAGCTTGGGTCTTCGAGAGCCGGGGGGAGATGCATCTATCGTGGGCTGTTTGAGTGGTAGGTGGTGTTGCTCCGTTGTGATTTACAGTTCGATTCGAAGGCTCAAAGACTCAAAGTACTATCCGGCCCCCATCCCTCCAGCAGACATCCATGCTTCAACCTTTTCCTTGCTCGTACAGATCAGACTCTCGCCGTTAGAGGTCTCTCGCTAGTCGGGAGTCATTTATGTTCTGAATTGGTATGTTCTTTGGATTGGTGATATGAATTGCAATGTAATGGATGCGATAGTAGATGTTGCACGGTCGAAGGTCTGCTCGCTTTCGCAGATGTCCGGCGAGAATAATCCGAATAAGCGTAGAGTGAGACTGATCTTCGTGAAGCGCAGCATAGGCTGGAGGTCAAGCTCGTAGTATCGGGGTCCTGGTCTCGATTCCACGGCGACCGCACCGTGTGGTTCAAGGACATCTCAGCCTTTGTATCTGCATGACTGAGCTTTAAACAATCCACTTTCATCGTCCGAGTGACCCCAGAGCTTTCTATCAGTCACTGAAATATTACTAACTAGCTTTGTCTCGAGCGTTCTGGCGTTGGCAAAAATGACCATCCCAGATTTCTTCAAGAACTCCAACCTGTCGCCACCTCTATGCAGTCTGCCCGGAGCCAATACCTCGCAAGGACGGTTCTGTTGTGATCTGCGGACTTGCAGTCAAAGACGAGTTGCCGGAGGATCATTAATGCTAAACCCTGCTCGAAAGTTAAGGACTTAGTCCAGCCCTTCAAGCCTCGTCGATTGAAACAAGTTTTCAGCGACTGAGCACGATTCTCGTCTGCTCCGCATCGCACTAGCAGAGATATATGAGTGAGATCCACAAACCTGACAAAGCATGCCGAATTCGGATCGGTCGCGAGTGAAAAGGCAGGAAGTCGCTTCCACTATTATTGCTTTTGTTAACGTGGCATCTCAGGGCACCGGGATTTGCGGCATTCCGGTTAAGACCAGCGACACAGATCGAAAGTCGCTTCCTGGTAGTAGCGATCTTCTCCAGAGTTCTTCTTGCAAGAGCAAAGAGAGTACGTGGTTGACAAACTGTCATCATCAGCGACACGCCATACACTTGCTCGATGTCGAGTAGACTAGACTTCTGGGCCCAGGCAGCGACCATAGCCAGAGGGATTCTCCGTAGTGAGTGTCTGGGAAGATGTAGGGCAACTGCCAATGTCCAAGACTCTAGAAGTACAAACTTGCCGGTCGCAACAGGCTTCAGTTCATGAAGATCCGAGAGCCGGCGGGAGAGGTGCGCATCCGATCAATAGGCCGCCGAGAGGACAGTGGTACGAAGCAGGTAAGTCAGGAGCAGCATCTGACGAAGAGCCAGACATGTCTGACATAGTGCCCCCAAAATCAGACGGAGGTGTCAATTCTGCCGTAGATGGAAAATGGGGCGGCATTGAAGGTTGACCGGACCGAGGTGCGTTCGTTCATCCAGTGGGTTTGCGAGTCAGTCAAGAAAGACGCCGGGAGGATGTTTGAGAAGTGCATTGCAGCTGTATTGGGATTTCACAAGACGTAGAGACTCGAGAGATAGAGAGTAGCTCCCAAGGGTCTCTTTCCGCGGCTGTATGTGAAATCGAAGGTGGCTTTGGCTCAACCCTAAGGGACCGCGCTCCAATACCAGCTCCAGATCAATGGCACCACGTAACAGATGGCTGGTCTGACTCCATGGGCTGAGAAATATTACATCGCGGATGGATTCAGATGCGAGGCCGAGTTAGTAGGGTTCGTTCGCGAAATGTCAATTCGTATGCGTGGGCTGTCCTAGACTCCACTCGGCTGATGTCGAGGAGCGACGAAGAGAGAGGAGGTTGCTGTTGTTGTTGCAGATGGGGGGCGTATTGTAGCTCTCGATCGAGCAGTGGACGCTTCGCTTAATTAAGAATACTACTCGGCGATGCTGCTTGAACTCCGGAGACTGAGGGATGCTGCTTTACCAAGGAGATTGCTGTAGTAGTTGCAACAGATGACTGCTCAGCCAAGTTCCAGTGTAAGGACTACACCGAGCGTCTGCGATTCAATCTGTTCCACAAAGAGAGCGAATGTCGAGCGCTGCATGGACCATACGAATCGTGAGTTCGGGCCTTGTAAAGGAGTCAACCGCGGGCTGCTGCCGGCTCAACTCGAACCACCGGCAACTATGAGTACAGTGGCCAGGCTGCGGCGTCCAAGTATCGCCAAGCCGTGACTCGTGAGATTATGCGCAAGCTGGCCACTACATCTGTGATCTTCTGCAGCATGGGATCGAGCCCGCTCCTACAGGACCCCGTGGGTTGGATCTCCAAGGAATATGTACGTCTGGCTAAGCGATTTGAACACCGTCGGAGCTCAAAAGACTTCGCAAAGGTTGCCTGGGGTACCACTCCTCGGAAACACTCACAAGTAGTAACCCTAGCTCCTGTTTGACATCAACTTTTCACATTCGACAAAACCACCGAGATATTGTGAGAACGCGAGCCTTGGAACCGGGTCCGTGGCAGAGAACGCTGAGTCTACTGCGGGCAAGTCAGACGGAGAGTGCACAGGACGACATAAGCCTGTCAGACTTCGCTCCCAGTTCCACGATCAATATTTCGATTCCTCCTGCTCTTAAGGTCATCGCACCAGCTTAGCACTTCAGAGGGGCTTCCAGCTCCATACTACGCCCAGCTCTCAAGCACAAGACGCCACGATTACTTCGAGGACTGACGAAGTTGTAGTCTTGTAGATCCAGCTCCTTCCGGCGATCTATTCGGACTCTTGTCTTTTCAACTTGAGCTGCTGGCCGATCATCCCATGGCGCGTGTAGGCGAAGATTTCGAAGAAGATCATGCATTGGTTGCCGTTGTGGTCGTCGATCTGGAAGACCAACGTTCTGCGCTTTCATTCTTCTTTGTACCCTCAAAGTCTTCCAAAAGATACAAAGAAACGGTCAATCGACGGAGTGACGAACCTGCAATTGACAAACCGAAAAGATTGCCCATGGTCGAAAGCGTAGTCCCTGTTGGCTGCGGGCCGCTTGCTGCTTCTGATCTTTGGCAAGGTGAGAGCAGCTCATTGGCAGGCTCCGGCAAAAGAACGCATATGCTCGCTCGTACCGGAGTACGACTGTGCTTCATCCAGAGTTCTGCTCCTTCTGATCGGACGAACGAGGGGCCGTAGAGAGTGAGATCGGCCATGACAGTCTGTCAGTCGGCGAGCTTGTCCCGGGTTCTCCTTGCTCGTCATCTCCTCCGTGAAGAGCTCGGTTCCTTTCCTTCTCCCTCACGCTTCAGTTCGCAGTGGCGTATTTTGCTCCTTTCAGTCTCAGAACCTGTCCTTGGCCACCTTCTTCGAGGCCTCAGCGCTGGTACTGTGGATGCCTTGATCGAGACCGACGTCCTTCTTCTGCATGTCCCTCGAGTCATCCCCGGCGCTGGGGTTCACGCGCTGGGAAGCATCCTATTCAGCGGCGTACATGAGTCTCAGATATGTCGATCGGAGGGCGTCTGGAGCAACCTGTGGGTGGTGCAACCGTTGCTGAAGTCATCCTCGACCTGAAAGAGTTCCATCGCGACCAGCACCCCATTAATCGAACTTGCCATGTCGGCGATCTGATTCTGGTGCTCGAGCCGACGAGCGCGCAGACCGCGAAGATCTGGCCTGGAGCTCCCCTTAATCAGCTTCGCCAGCTCGTCGTGCGTCGTTTGGTACTTGACGGAGTAAGCGAACGGGAGGACGGACATCTCTCTTCGTGGCTTCATGCAAATCGTTTGTAAAACTTCCTGCTCGCTTCTCGTTGAGATCCCGTCGCCAGAGTGCATCTGACCCCGATCGATGCCGCGTCCTGCATCACCATCCTTTCTTCAAATCTTGCATCAGATCTTGCATCAGACCTTGCATCAGATCTTGCATCAGATCTCTCATCTAGATCTCTTATCCAGATCTCTCATCCAGACCTCTTACCCAGATCTCTTATTCAGATCCCTCATCCTTCCCGCAAATACCGATGGTAGAGAGTTGGCTGCTTATGAAAGAGCCGAAAAGTCACCGCGGAGCCCGAGAATTCCTTGTCGTCGGGGGATGCGAAACAGCGCGAGCCGCAATCGAGGTCTTCCTCGCCACGATGGCCAATTATCCTGATGCTCCCTTCTGTCGATTGCAGAGTCTGACCGGCACTGACAACTTTGTTCTCGGGATATCCATTAGACTATCTCCTGGCCGTGGTGTATTTTGCCAACGTATCCTCACACGGCAGCTCCTTAAGATATCGCCGTCTTTATCGATGATCGCTCTCGTTCATGGCGGTGTTCCTGATGGTTTTCTCCCACGGGTATATGGATGCTGTTGCGCTTCGGAACGGCCTCGGTATGTCTAGCGGCAGAGTGAAGGGTGCGACAGATGGATGACGTGCGTCCGGCGACGTGTCGTGCGTGCAGCTCAGGCGGCGACAGGCGTTACGAGTATCCGACAGTATAAGAGCAGCCTTGATGGAACCCGTATATGGCGCCTTGGTAGAAGAGATGAGAGGACGCACAGCGGCGGCAGCAAGTTGAGCTCGTAAGGATAACGACTCGATGAGGTGGGCTCTGAAATTTCGGAATGACTCTCGACTCGGACGAGAGCTTCATGTCGATCTCGTCTCGTTGGCGAGAGGCGGAATGGCACGAGTAGTGTCTGCGCGCGTCTGGCGTGCTTGCGCGCTGCTGCGCTGGCCGGTCAATGGCATTGTGGTATGGAGTTCTGATGCCGTCGGGCGCGCAAGACGATGCCAGAAGATGCTGATTCCAGCATTGTAGGCTCCATGACAGCGGTGGAGGAAGCTGGATTTGGTAGGAAGAGTTGAAGGAGAAACTCCGTACCTTCGGGGATAATCGAAGCCGGGCGTTGGCCATCCTCCGATTCATGTTACGCGATATAACGGGCTGTTACGCGCAATAACGGGATGTTACGCGACATAACGAGCTGTTACATGGTGCGAGTGCGAAGGCTCAGACAGATGCAGATTGCTCGTAGGTAACGTTTCGAGATCATTTAACGAAGAGTTCACACATGCAGCGACTTCGCCGTGCCTGGCGACCGATGAGACACGCGTTCGCGCGATGGCCCCCGGCCATCTGGACCCCGCTAAGCACCCGCTGCCTTGGCCTCGCCGCATCGACCTCGATCAAGGATGACTTCCACCTCTCCACCACAATACCATTACCAATCCATATATAGCATCAGATGCAGCTCATGCCATAACGGCGAATGACGAGCAGAAGTGTGCATAGTCTTCCGACAGCCGCGCCGACACCAGCCTCGGGCTGGCTTCCTCTTCCCCGAGCACCGTCGAAGACACGCCTACGACGACAATCGAAGTGAAGGAGAGCAGCGTAGAGATCGCAGAAGATGACACCAGAAAGGCTCAGAACATACCCATAGGAGACGAGGACACGGCGTTGAAGATACAAGAGGAGAGGGCACATACCACAAGCTGTCTGCGACGACCTTTAGCGGCTTGACAACGGTTATTTGGACGGTGAAAGCGATCTTCCCTCATCTCTCGCGCCTTCGGAGCTCGACACATTCGAGAGGGTGCCTGGTGAGAAGGGGCCGCATCCGTTTGGATCGGACAAAGGGCGATATGACTACAAAGAGAGCAGTTCTGCACCTCCGTATGCCATCCAACCTGCATAACCGCTTCACCGGCACACTGACCGATGAGCTTCTTGCGGCGGTGGGTAGTACCCTCGATACTCTTCTCCAAGCCGAGCGAGACCGTCTTCCTGCGTAGGTTACAGTTGACTTGCTCAATCTGCCGACGTTCGCTACGGCAGATCAACCTAGGATCCAGATTCCAGACAACTCACTCGCTTGGCGCACCCAATCGAAGCCGTTCCTCGTCCTGAAGACAGTATATACAGACGAGCCCACCAGAAGAGGATGCAGTTGTGAGTACATCGAGAAGCTTATTGCTCGCAGCTTAACTAGTGATTGTGACGGATATCGCGCCCAGATGGAGGATCAACGAAGGCAATGGTCGGGAGGGACCACTATCATACCAGCTCGCCATCTCCATATCCCGAGCCGAGTTCAATCCCACCGATATGGTGTTCGCATACCCACTCTACGCATGGAAGCGAGCCACGTCCCTGAAACCGCGCCAGCCGGCGAGCCCGACATTCTGTTTTCTGGCTGCACAAGTCGCTCTCGGGAATCTCCACCGATGTCGACATCACTGTTCCCGGCACTGCTCTTCGTGAAGTTCTTTCCAATGCGGCAATTGCGCAGTATCCACTGGATGATCACCAAGCTGCAGATTCAGCACCGTGGAAGTTTTCGAAGCGTGCGTACGAAGATGATGGCTCGGATGCAGGAAGCAAAGCCACGAAACAGAGGTCTCAGAATGAGGTTTGGTGTGCTTGTTGAGGGTGCCGGGAGTCTACGATGGTCTGCACAACCCCAGGGTAGTTGCATTGGCTTGGTGCTGTCCAGGCCAGGCAGCAGCAAAAGTGTTGAAAGATCTTACATACTTCCGTGCACATCCGTGCCATGATGTCTACCTCAATTTCATGCAGCTGGCCTCTCGAAACACTATTGCAATTGCGAAGCCCTTCTCATGTGCTATCCACGCTTCCACTTTTCCTATGTGTGCTGCAGCACGGCAAGCTCGTGGCTTTCACGGTCGAGCAAGATAAAGTAGCGCAAGAAGACCTCCATCGTTGTTGTTCACATTGCGATTTACGAAGCTTATCTTCGGCCCAAGATAAGCCCTCCACCTTCCTCTACAGCGTGTGAGTATGGCGCCTTTTAAGGCGCGAGTATAAATCGGAATCCGACACTCAGGACAGCGACGTAGATCTTGGATCTCCTGGATTCGAGTCCGTTACGGCAACATTAGACTCCGGAAGTGAAAGGTAGCGTGCTCTGGTCTCTGCGAATAGTTCCACTGAAGGAAGATGTCGGAGGTGTCGGCGAGGGATGGTTGGTAAAGACAGGCAACTTGAAGGTTCGCCGTCCTCCGTGCATGGATGATTAGTACAAGGGAGTGAAAGAACAAAGATCTTGAGTCCAGGTTCTCGGAAAGGGAAAGACTCTCTTTACCCGGAGCCAGGTCGTTCTCCACGCAGGCACGCGTGTCTACTAGTAAGATACTTGATCTCGGCACTGTCGCTGGTATCTCCGGAGGTATTGTCCTTAAACGTCACTCGGTATAATGGACCATGCACAATGCACGATTGCAGCGTTCCTTCAACTTGTGGTGCTTTGTTTAAACATTCCAGTGCAAGTCGGAAGTTTGAGACAAAGGCATTGTGGAGCAAGATGTTGAACTCTCAAAATTGCGAACATCCATATATAAGCAATGGGGGAATCGCATTTGGTATGAGAATGCACGAGGAAACAATGCGGCAGTGTTGCATTCTCGAAAATCGGAGGCGACTAAGACCAGAGCGTAACAGCCAGACTCAACTATCTACGCTCGATGTCGACCCGCCTGGCTTGGTCCAGCTTGCCCCTCTCGATCTTGAACGAGGCCAGATTGTATCGATCCTTTCGGACTTCTGAAGCGAGATATAAGGACCGAGTGATCAAGGTAGACGTCCATGGCTCGTGTCGAATCGGCTCGTCGTTGACCAGCAGCGTGGAAGGCTCGCGGATTGCCCGGCGCAGGTGTCGGCGGCTTCGACTCCGGCTAAGACGCTTCTCTGCGAGCACGCATTGAGGTCTTCCGTATAGAGGCTTCCAAACGATCGAATCTGCATTCCAGCATATCCCTCTTCTTGCATGGGCTCCAGGCCCGTATTTAGCTGTGAGATCTCGGGGAATGTACACTGCAACGATCACAGCCATGTTCAGCGCGCGCCACCGCATCATCCCGTTGCAACGATCGTATACCACGTCGTCAGAGCTACTGAAGATCGTCACGGAGGGCGATCGTTAGGCTCCGGCTGGATTCTCTCCTGGGCCGGGGTTGGATGGCAGTGGCTAGAGGAGTGGACACTTAAAGTCGATCGTGACCCTGGCGTGTGCGCATCGTCTCCAATACTGCCTCGCAGACCGTGGGAGAACCTGAAACCAAAACGGGGCGATCAAAGAGAAGAATGGAGTCAAGACCGCCGAGCATGGTCCAGGCTGAGAGGATTAGGTTATCGCAATTGCTCGCTTGTCCAATCCTACTCTAGTAATATCGGGGGTTTCCAGATGCTCTGACTTTCGAAGGAGAACTCCGTCGTCTTGTAAATTCCGTGGAGAATGGGCGAAGTACTCTGCGTGTCGACTTATTAGATGTTCGCTACGGAGCTCTCTGTTACCACGCTATACTCCAATGGAATCTCATCGCCGCGACTCCGATAAGCTATCCCGCGGACAAACTTGTTCCTCGCTAGGAACGCTTATCATCTCGCATGGCGACGAGGCTTGGTGAGGCGCTTCCGATATTGCCTCGATGCACAGAGGACGAAGAGATGGCGACGATGTCCGCAGTCCTTCGCGCGAAAACGTAGACGGGGGATTGGAGACAACAGTAGGCGTTCTGCCGCCGGAAATGTCAATGCGAGTGCCACCTTTATTGGCCGTAACACTCAACCCGAAGCACATCATCCGAAAGCCCAAGGACAGTTCCATCTCCACTCAGCTGACTAGACCGACGAGTCATCCGACAGTTGTTAGCAAGACCTACAGACGCCCATTTCTGAGCAATATTTTTCGATCCTCTACCAGACAGACTTCGGGGACGGGGGTGCCAGCCAGCAGAAATGTCGGTCTTTCAGATCCTTTCTTAACGAGCTCCTCGAAGCCAGGTAAAGATTTTGCAGCACCTGTTGTGCCAGACGCGCTGTCTCCTTTGAAATGTTACATTCTTGACCAAACCAGTGCATTATCGGCGCGGAAGCTCTGCTCGCATCTGGAGCTCACGTGGATGATCTTTGTGGCACTGGGTCATACCCTCTCCTGGTTTTGAGCACGCAATCTCGAAGCTGGACATAGCTCTCGCGCTTGCGGCTGATCTTTCGCAGTCCTCGGCGAGGCCCTGGTGGCGATGAAGTGATCAGGTCAGGATAACAGGGCTTGAAACCCTGCTGGCGAGGTGAAGACAGCCGATTGGCATCCTGGGCCAGTCGTGGTGGCTGACGATTCTCGCGATGAAATTTTCTTGACGAGGATGAAGAAAGATCGATAATGTATTACGTTGAGGAAGTCTCCGAACTTCTGGCGTCTTCTTGCGGGATGCTGCGGCCGTGTTGTCGCTATGGGTCAAAGCGAGATGGAACGATACTTTCGGCCCCGGCGACATACTAGAAATGATGCTACGGCAACAGATGCATCTCGTGGAAGATGTAGAAGTGGATGATGTGTCGGACCAAGATGTAGAAGTGGGTGATGTGTCGGTATTGGGTAGCGCTAAGCTTGCACTCGCCCGCTTACATCGTAATATCGTCGCTTAACTCGGGATTTGGTAACGACCAGCGCGATGGGAGGAGATTTGGCGAACATGCCGACCTCAACCTCGCTCCTTCACTTGACTACATGTACCTTCAATGATAGCCAGAGCTTTTCTGCATTCCAGCATCACTTTTCCGTGGGATACTAAGCGCACAACCAGGCTTTCAAGATTCCGCCAGAGATCGGGGAAGTAAGGCATCATTGCCACCCACTCCCGCATGTCGTGGCGACAGCAGCAGCGTGTACCCCCGAGGGCTTCTCCATACAAGAGTACTCTTTTGCGATGAGAGGTTGCACGACGTTCCCTGATACTTGACAGCACGTAGAAAAACGGAGGTGGAAGTGGACACCGTACAGACAGCAAACACCTGGGCGAGAGCAGCCTGTCGACATCCGCTACTGCATTCATAGGATGCAAAAGTGAAGTAGAGCCTTTCTCGGAGTACAAAGAGGCCGCCCAATGCCGGTAGCGTCTTCCCTTCTGCCGTTGAAGAGGAATGCAAGCACCACGTATCGATTGTGGGGGCAAGGAGATCGCGAAGACCCAAGGCATGCGCAAGTTACGAATGAGAGAATACTCTGGCGAGGCGGCATTCCACAAGCCAAATCCTCAGTCCCTGGACAACTTCGACTGTGGCTGACCCACCTAGCTCTCTGCATCCTCCAGCCGGGTTGACCTCATGTTCTGAAACGATCATCCACGCATTGCCAAGGTATACTTGTTCCACGTCCGGGTTGATACAGGCTATTCAGGAGTGCGTACAAAGCACCACGCCTCCGTCCCCGAGAGCAGCGGCAATCGGTTTACCAACGAGCTGCGCAGCTTGTACTGTCCATGGAATTTTCTGTTAGGATACTTTTGGGATATTTGGACGCATTCTGAGACCGGGAAAAGCTTTCATTATGGAATGTGTTCAGCATGAGATCACAGTCGACGCATACAGCTGCACGACTTGTGGCTCGGTGTTCGGGCTCAGGGTACACGAAGAGTTCCATTCGAGTAGCGGGCGCCGAAAGCGAAAGTTCGGGAAAGTCATCGTCCACCGAGTTGGCAGGTCTCCCGTTACCCAGAGTCATGCGGAACATGGCGAAGAGAAGCTGGCAATACCAGTAATCGATGAGTCTGTCATGGGGGATCAATGGTTGTCAGACCAACTGCAAGGAAGTGGTCACGGACATGCGGCTGATCCGCGCCTCGCACATGCTGCTGATTCCGAAGGTGTTCGATGTGGAATCTCATTGAACAAGAGGCTTCCACGGTGAGTCAGAGAAAGAAGGCTAATTTTTAACAGCGAAGTCAAGCTGCGCAATGCCGCAGAGCATGTGGAATTAAAATTCTAGCCTAACTATACCCGCGAAACCAGACCCATTCCAAAGCCAGCAGCGCACCAAATCCACATTGCCTTATCCATACTACAAAAAATAATCTCGATACCGACTCACAGCCGGCGAGCGGCGCCAAGACTGCGGCAAGATTTCTTCTAGACGGCGAACCGTCTCTTCTGCTTCAGTGACGGCCTCAAGCCGTCCGGCGGAGCGGTGGGCCTCTTCACGAGTGCGAGCGAGCTGCTCGCGGGCTAGCGTCATTATTTGTGCGAAGGCGCTTGTGCCTTGCACGAGGGGCGGAGAAGAGGGGGGCGGAGCGGAGCGGCGACGAGGGAGAGGGGGTGGCAGGTCGCCAGCATTTCTGCGTCGACGCCTGTTGCCAGCAGGAACATTACGGCGGCGACGGCGAGGGACTATGGCGACCGTCGAGGGAGTGTCACCTCCTGCTTGGACGAAGTCATCGTCCAGCATGTCGGCCCCTATGCCGAATGGATCTGCTTCTTCATCGGCGGCAGGCTGGACATCGAGGCCGGGGGGAGAGAGCCGAGGCGGCGATGATGGGGGTACATCATCATCGAACATGCTCGAAGAACTGGGAGCGTCGAGCCGTGGGACATTCTGATCTGCACGACCTTGCTCCGGCGTGCGAGGCTCGCGAGCGCTCATCTGTTGCTGCTGTTGTTGTTGTTGCTGTTGGTGCTGCTGCTGCTGCTGCCGCCTCCGCCGCACAGCGTCTACTGCCCGGTCGACATCAACGGGCTGAAGGATGAAGCCCTTGTAGCACTTCCTGTGCTTGTCCTTCCGACGCAACTCAATCTGCCTCCCCAGCTCTGCCATCGCAGGCGCGAGATTCGGCTCTGCGATACTCAAGGTCACGAGCTTCTTCAAAATGTTCAAATTGTAATACGCGGGCGTCGCGCCACGCGCAGGAACTTTCCAGTCCCAGCCTTGCCAGCGGGACTCCACTGAGCCCTTTGCTTGGGCTTCGTTGTCGGCATTTTGCCTCTGGATGCGATCGATGTCGTCCAACGTATTCCTATAGGCGAACTGATTTCGCCAGCGAGCAGCCTCTGCAGCACTACAGGTCTTCAACAGACCCCAGTAGGCAAAAATTGCCCGGCTCTCTTCTGCGGCGTGCCGGACATGGTGCTCCAGCCAATTCTCCAGCGCAGAAATCTTTCCAGCAGCGTCCAGTCCACCGACATGGTCTAACACTTTTTTGAAATCATATTCCGCTTCGGTGATCGCACGGAACGGAACGCCAGCCATGCTTCTGTATGTTGTAGTCGGAGAGAATGCGGGATGCCTTCCTTGTCTTGGATCTTGGACTTGACGTTGTCGATGGTGTCAGAGCTCTCTTCCTCGAGGGTGGACTCCTTCGGGATGTTATAGTCGGAGAGAGTGCGGTCGTGCTCAAGCTGCTTGCCTGCGAAGGTCAAGCGCTGCTGGTCTTGCCAGTGAGGGTCTTAACGAAGATCTGTATACCACCGCGGAGGCGGCGGAGGACTCGCGAGGTGGAGGGTGGACTCTCTCTGGATGTTGTAGTCGGACAGAGTGCGGCCACTCGAGCTGCTTGCCGGCGAAGATCTTGCGCTGCTGGTCCGTTGGGATGCCTTCCTTGTCCTGGATCTTGACTTGACGTTGCCGATCGTGTCGGAGCTCTCAACCTCGAGGGTTGATGGTCTTGCCAGTGAGGGTTTTGACGAAGATCTGCATACCACGACGAGCGTGGTGGGTGGACTCTTTCTGGGTGTTGTAGTCGGAGAGCGTGCGGCCGAAACAAAGCAACAATCCTGTGAGAGTCTTGACGAAGATCTGTATCCTGGCAAGGCTCGGACTCCAACCGGCTACCGAGCGAAGGACGACACGATTGAGAATCTTCCGCATGCGGGTACACACTCGAACCGCGCTACTTCCTCACACATTGGTCTTGTTTACTCGCCACTCCCTTCAGAGACATCTCGTCTGCTCGTCACTCCCTCAAAGACGCATGTTTGCAACAGCTAATAGCCAGCAGTCGCATCACTGCTCATGCTTGCCGCGATCGAAATTTATCCTCTAATGCACTTGCATCCAGGGTCCGATGTCAAGAGTGCAACTCGCAGTCTCCCTTCGGCAGTCTCCCTTCGGTCGCAACTTTGTGACTGTCCATTCCCGGGGGCCCATGACTGGTTCCGATGACCGTGAAAGATAATTTGGCATGGCTATCGTGGTGCGGGTTCTCTCCTCTATGCGACCCTACTCGCACTTCACTGCTTGGTATTGCACCAACGGTTGCTCTTCGAAATCATGAGTGTAGCGGACAACACCTGCCTGACGAATGGATCATTGCTCCCCATGCCTTCCTACACGAGCGAACATAGCGATGTTGCTGTGTTCCCCTTCGACAGCAGTCGCGTATCGGGTTTCCTCTTTCCTCGAGCATCGAACATCCGCACTTCCTCCTTCCACGAGGTGACAGGTTCCCTCCCAACGCAGATTGCTATGGCCTTGCCTTCTCGACCTTCCGAGATGCCTACAGTCCAGTCGGTTCCTTCGTAGCAGCGAACTTCCCGCGCGCTCGGGACATCCGAACATTTGCTTTCCGACAATGCCGATCTGTACGCAAACCTTGGCAGATGTTTCGGGCACGACTGCGTGTACGCGTGGCTGGCCCTTGCGCAGAGCAAATCGTGTCGGGCCTGCTAGCTTAGACGAGCTAAGGAACAAGACCACGTCGACGAGTCGGCGACTATCGCGATATACGACATAGTACGGGACATAGCAGCGTAGATACTACCTCTATCGAGAACGTATACTATAATTCTCTACTATAGGATAGAGTTAGAGAATCCTATCGAATACGAATATTATAGAGTTAATATTATCGAGTAGGAGTCTAGCTATTACTTATAGATAGAGATATATAGAAATACGAATATAGGTACGTATATAAGAATAGTAGTCGCTATTTTAATATCTATATAGATAATTACGCTATAATTACTAGAGACTATAGTAGTTATAAAACTAACGTCTAGTAGATTAATAACTCTACTTTCTTCTTAGATATAGTACTAGAATAACCTTTTCTCTAGACTTAGAGATACTATAGTAAAGTGTCTAAGCCTACTTAGTATAGAATATCTATAAAGATATTATAGAAGAAAGAAAGGTTAGTATTAAACTAAGTCTCTAAAAGGGTATCCTAATAAAGGTTTTATATAGATATAGCTATAGTAGAAGGTATCTATAAGGTAGGTAGGTAGTAGGAACTAATATATTAATTAAGTTAATTATCTAGAGCGATATATAATTCTTCTAAACTTAGAGTTCCTAGCTATAGGTTATATAACTAAATTATATAACTAGCTCTATCTAGTATAGTTACTAAGGACTATACTTTCTAATACTTCTACTTAGGACTAAAGGCCTATATATCTTCCCTTTTTATTCTAGAACTTACCTCTATAGTTATAGAGAATTTCCCTTCTCTTACCTTAGGTTAGATAGTATAGTAGTAGAATTACTACCTATAGTTTAATTCCTAGCCTTAGTATATCTCGCTAGATTAGCTATTCTAAATAGGAATATCTAATCTAGTAAGACT